GTACTGTATCGGATACCTGGTAAAAGTACCCTTCAAGAGTACAAGATTGAGCAAAATTCATTCAAAGCCCCATTTCAGACTCGACATCGATCATTTGCACGCAAAATTGGCCGAGAAAGAAGAAATGATCGCCGCAATGAGCCGCGCTGAGCAATTCAGTGGTAAGCAGCGTAGACATAGAGGTTTGTCGTCAATCCCCGTGTTGTCTGTTTATAATTTTGTCAATTTTTCCCCAATCGAATCAAGCTTTCTGTATCAAAAGTCTCAAAAAATTTGTCTATAGGTCGTGTCGGATCGAGTGGAATCGACGAGGAAGCGCTCGTCACTTGCCTACGCAACAAAACCGATTACATCCAGGCGTTGGAAATTGAGGTTACTTTAATAGCTAGATATATGCAAATAGATAGGTATAAAATTTTCTTTTTTAGATCAAGAAGCTCCGCGAACAGATCACAAAGATTCAACTGGACGCCGAGGATAAAGCTGTCATCATTACGGTGAGTTTAAATGGTTAAAAAGTGGATAAGATTAGATTATTAGATAATAGATAATAAATAATAGATATAGATATAGATATAGATATAGATATGTCTCAAATGATATAGATATGTCCTTTGTCATTAACAATCCAGCTTTAAGCTCAAATACCTTCGTGTACGGCTGTTCAATTGAAATAGTTTTTATACCAATCGACAGAGAAAGACTTGACGCATCTAGTGATACCAATAATTTATAAATTGGACAACCCAACACCAAGATATTTGAGTTTAAAGTTAGATTACCAATGGGACAAAGGGGTGGGGCAAAGATATCTATATCTATATCTATATCTATACCTATTATTAGATAATAGATCTATCTAATTATCTAAAACCAATAAATTACAGGTTCTTCAAGAGGAGAACAATGAGGGCACTCGGATGATCGCTGAACTGGAGCAGAAGGAGAGGGTAAGTGGGGGAAAAAATGTGACTGGTTACTGTAAGAAGATAGTTTTCAGATCTAAATTTGATCCTAGTCTAATTTAGATTACTTTACCGTTGACTAACTCTTTTGTTTTTCTTTTCTAGAACACTCTGGATTACGCAATCAGAAGCATTCCCAACTTCGTTCAGTCTTTTTTTGAGTGTAGGCCTTTTGATTTTCAGCATTGTTTTTAGCTTTATGCAGGGTGCAGGGTTACTGTAGCGTAACTTTACTGTAAAGATATAATAGAAGTACTGTAGCGGCTACAAATCGATCCTAAAACGAATCTCTACAGTTCTCAATTTGAATAACATAGTCCGAGCGTTAAAAATTTAGCAATCAATTGCAATTCTCAAATCCGATTTTGAAAGAAATCCGATTACAGTATACCTTTCCGGCACTGATACTTAGAAAAACTTAGCACAATCTTACTGTATTTAAATAGATTACTATGAAATTTTTTCAGAACCGTCGTCTTTTGGAGGAGGCGCGTGACCGTAACCTAGTCACCGGTCTTGCTGATTTCACCAACTGAATATCTTTTCTCCTATAGCTATTCTCCTATAGCTATTCACCATTTACTTATCGCCCAAGCAGCTCCTCAAATATTTGTTCTAATGTTTCTAACACTTTTTGGTACTTGTAACTTTACATTTAAATGCAAAATGACCATCAAAAGCTACAGTAAAGTTACAGTCGTTGATTATGTTTTCCTAAACCATGTACATTTTGTCGTTTATCCGCCTCGTCTTCACACTCCAAATTAGTCTCAATTTCCACTGGTACTCTTTCCGAAAATGCACATAAATGCAAATTTGTGTTCTTTTCTATCAATTAGCGTTTACAAACTCTTCTTTCATTGTTGTTGAATAAAATATTTAAAAATAAAGAAACTATCAAAGCACGGTGTGATTCAAGGCTTCTTATCTTAATCCGATAATACTGTAGTAAGATGAAAAGGCTCTAAAATAGAGTGAGTTCTTTGCTTTTTCTTTGCTGTTTCGAAAAAGTGACTAATTTAGGAAACTATTGTAACCTTTTCTTCAGGCAAAGAAAAGGTTACGGTAGTGCTTATTCTGCTTAATTTTAATCCGGCTGAATATCTTTATAAAGATTGAGATATAAAAGGAAACTTTAATTGAGAAAACTACTGTAATCTCGTTCAATGATTCGTGAATTTTTCAACTCAAGCCGTTACCCTATCTCCCTAAAAAGTCTATTCTTCGATCAATTAATCAACGGCTAACGTACGGGTAAAGGTTAACGTACGGGTAACGGCTAACGTACGGGTAAAGGCTAACGTACAGGTAACGGCTAACGTACGGGTAAAGGCTAACGTACAGGTAACGGCTAACGTACGGGTAAAGGCTAACGTACAGGTAACGGCTAACGTACGGGTAAAGGCTAACGTACAGGTAACGGCTAACGTACGGGTAACGGCTAACGTACGGGTAAAGGTTAACGTACGGGTAACGGCTAACGTACGGGTAAAGGCTAACGTACAGGTAACGGCTAACGTACGGGTAACGGCTAACGTACGGGTAAAGGTTAACGTACGGGTAACGGCTAACGTACGGGTAAAGGCTAACGTACGGGTAACGGCTTGAGTTGAAAAATTCACGAATCAGTGAATGAGATTACGATAGTTTTCTCAATTAAAGTTTCCTTTTATATCTCAATCTTTATAAAGATATTCAGCCGGATTAAAATTAAGCAGAATAAGCACTACCGTAACCTTTTCTTTGCCTGAAGAAAAGCTTACAATAGTTTCCTCTTTTTAAAGATTTTAAAGATATTCAGCTGGATACTGTAATGAGAGAAAAATGATTCTAAAAGTTGACAGTATCTTCAAAAAATGATGATAATTCCTTGAAAAATTCTATTTTAGTGTCCCGCAGCCTTTTTCCAGAAGCCCTTTTTTATCGCACACAAAGTGTCCATGTCTGTGATGAGAAAAAGGTGAGAAATCCATCTCTTATCATTTGAAAATTGACCTTTTATACTTCCAATTAATGAGAAATCGCAATCTTTGCCCAAACACTACAATAAACACAATTTTGTCACCCAAATAGCAGCTATTTATTGCTGGAATTTGAGCAACTTAAAGTCAACCTTTGAACCCCTTTATAGAGTCTAATTTTCTTTTATATTACTAATCAAAGAGCTTTTTTTACTTGGAAAATTAAAAACTTCGATGAAAAAGTTCGATGAAAAACTTTTTCTTTACAAGAATTCTCAATATCAGAGGTTTCACTTAGACTAAAGGGAAATTCTTTTTGTCAACAAAAATGAGCCAACAAAAGCTCTAGACGACGTAGCTTTACAAAATATTCTTTTATTTACTTTTTAAAATTTTCAAATCAAATTCTCAATAATTTTGATCATTCTAAACATTCCAATCCAATCATTTTACTAATTGTAAATAGCTTTCAACTTGTTAAACGCAAATTTTTCAACTCAAGTCGTTACCATATTCCTAAAAAGTCCCCATTTTCACTAAGCTTTTCATAAATCCCAAAAAAACATTCTAAATCTATTTCCTTTTTGTTATAGCCATTGCGGTGTCCGTTGATATGTTCGTGTAATAGATTCAATTGTAATAGATTGATATTTGATTCATAGAGGATAGTATAACAGTTAGGTTTATTCAAATAGTAAAACTTGAAATAGTTGCTAGCTGGAATAGAAGCTAGGCAAAAACGTTGTGAGAAATAAAATGATAATTTAACGACTACACAACCCTCCTTTAGACGTCACGACAAAAATACAAAAGGGCACGGTTTAGAAAACACGGTCAAAGAAATTTGTGGGAATAAGCATACATTTCCGGGAGTGGGACAAACGCTACCTTTTTTTTGCGCACCCGGACGTTTGCGCATATCAGAGCATATCAGAGCTTGTGGAAACAAACGGACGGAGTTATACAAAGAGAAAAATCGACAATTTTCTGTAATTTGATCTAGCCGTTTTGTCTTTCAAATTGGTTCCACACTCAAATTATGTCAAAATTTGAATTCAACACCCTCAAATTACCTAGAAAAACAACATTTGGAATAGAAATTGGTTAATATTAGCTTTTTAGAGCTTTTTAAACATTTTAAAACGCGAAAAAAGGTGCGCTAATGGGCAAGGTGCGGAAAAAAAGGTGCGCAAATGTCCGGGTGCGCAAAAAAAAGGTCGCATTTGTCCCACTCCCATCATTTCCAACTAGAGTGTGTTCCTCTCGACTAATGCGTTTTCTAAAATGCAGAGAAGTACCGTAGTCAAACCGCTAGTTTTCATCAGATCAATCCAATTTTTAAATCATTGGCTGAACCTTTTAATTCCTCATCAAATGATACCAAAATTGAGCTGATTGGATGTAAATTGGCAGTTTGACTACGGTGGTTTTCTCAAATAGGTTCATTTTAGAAAACACGTGAGTCGAAAGGAACACACTCTATTTTCAATACTTTTCTTTTCTTTGCCTTTCTTTTCTTTTCCTTTCTTTTCTTTTCTTTTTCTTTCTTTTCTTTTCCTTCCTTTCCTTTCCTTTCTTTTCTTTTCTTTTTCCAATCTTATCAATCGGAAGCCAATGGCATTTCTTTTGATAAAAAAGACAAAAACTGGCAAGAATAATTTCAAGAACCCAGCGGGAATTCTCAGGTGATCTCTAGAATTTTCTATTCCGAAAAATCTATTAAACTTTATAAATTTTTTACACCTTCTACATCATTTTATCAAAGTTGACCTTGAAAAGAAAATTATAGCAATTTTTCTCGATTCAATCCATTTCCTTGTTATCATACCGAATTTTGATCAAAAAATTTCAATATTTTGCTATTTTCTTTTAGCTTTTCTACAAATCTTACTGAATAAAGTCTACAACTTTTTTTTGATTGACTTCCGACTCAAGTCGCATTCCAATGCTAAAAATTCTCGCGAAATATCACCTCCGATTCTCAGCTAAAATTTTTGCTAATCGAGTTCAAAGTTAATAAATTAAAAAAAGGATATATATATATCTAGATTTAGCCTATTTTCTTCACACAACAATGCCTTCTGTATCGTATTCATCAAAAGTGGAGAATTGCGATGAATGTATCGATCTTCGATCAGACACCGTCACAAGGCCGACACCCGAAATGAGACAGGTATTGTAATAAAATAAATAGTACAATAGTACAATAGTACAGTACTTTTTTTGTAGTACAATAATAGAGATTAGTAGTAATCTTATAATTAGGTAGTCAATTTTTTAAATCTCTATCGGCAATATTTTATCTTTAAAAGTATGCACAAAAATAGAAACCCTTTCTTGAGTATTTTAGCTAAACTTACAAGGAACTAGTACTAGGAAGTACTAGGAAGTAGAGAAAGTACTAGAATTTAGATTAAAACCGGTAAAAGTGATCTGTGCACCGAAATATGAAGCTAGACTTGTAAGAAATTTAGCGTTAGCAATAATAAAGTAAAGAAATGAACGGTAAAGACGGGATTGAATAGGAATTGAACCCTCAACTTTCTGTTTATCGGACAGATGTTCTACCATTGAGCTATCGATGCCTTCTTTCCCCCAAGAAGAAATAGGAAACACAATAAAGAAGAAAGGAAGAAGAAAGAAAGAAAGAGATTTAAATTTTTTAATAGATTTGAAAAATTTCATTCAAATCTTTTAAGTTTAAATCCAATTAATGCAAAATGATTGAGATTTTTAAAAGAATTTATTTCTAGATCATGGCCAATTCAATCGTCGGTGATGATGTTTATGGAGAAGATCCGACAATCAATGCTTTAGAAGAAAGGTTATCCATTGAAAATAATAGCTAATAAGCTATTATTTAGCTGATAAACTTAAATCTATTTGAATTCTAGATATTCTAGATATGTCTAGATATCCAAATAAATTAACGAAAAATTCTAGATGCGCTAAACTCTTCAAGAAAGAAGCTGGTATTTTTGTCTGTTCGGGCACAATGGGCAATCTTCTTGCCGTTCTTTCGCATTGTCAACGTGGAGAAGAGATTATTGTTGGGAAACAATCGCATATTCATCGATGGGAACAAGGAAATTATGCTCAATTTGGGGGTGAGTTCAGAGATTTTTCATAATAAACACTGAATTTCTTTCACTTTGGCGTACTTTAACCAATCCAAAAAATTCCAGGAGTCAGTGCAATGACGGTAGAGATTGCGAACGATGGAACGTTGCCGTTGAAAGAGATTGAGGCGTCGATTCGTGGCGGAGATTCGCATCTACCAACGACGAAACTTATCTGCCTTGAGAATACTCACAATTGGGCCGGCGGGAAAGCGTTATCGAGAGAGTACCTCAGGTTGGGAAATCAGTAAAAATGTGAAACATCAATCCGTTTTTCTCAAATCATGGTTTTTTTTGTCAGTCTAGTTAACCGGATTTAGATTTAATCTAATTTTAAATCGATATTGGGATTTAGTTTCTTGAAAAATTATCGAATATCACTCAGGAAAAATACCAGCATTTGGGGCGACTTTTGGCGAAAATTGCAAAAATTGGAAATTGGGGGTGGGACAAATGCGACCTTTTTTTGCGCACCTTTTTTTTTTGCTGGAAAAGGCCTTAGGAAAAGTCGTAGAGCTTCAAAAATAGTTTCATTTAAGGGAATCGTATGCGTAGATTCCGAATTTCGACAAATCAGACCTCGCTGACACGTCAAATTTGGGCTAAAAGGCAAAAACTACGCAACTTAACGCTTTTCCGCAGTTTTTGCTTTTTTAGCCCAAATTTGACGTGTTAGCGAGGTCTGATTTGTCGAAATTCGGAATCTACGCATACGATTCCCTTATATGGAAATATTTTTGAAGCTCTACGACCTTTCCTAAGGCCTTTTCCAGCAAAAAAAAGGTGCGCAAATGTCCAGGTGCGCAAAAAAGGTCTCATTTGTCCCACCCCCAAAAATTGGCTTGAAAAAATCACGAGCGCTGATTTATAAACGTTTTCTTTTAAAGATATTCAGCCGTTTAACTGATTTAGTGGCAAATTCCCGTCAAATGTAAAGGTATTCAATTTACTCGACGGGTAAAGAGGATTGACTCGTAGTTACTCGGCGAAAAAGGTCGATTAATCGAGTAAAAATTACTCATGCAAGTTTTACTCGAGTAATTATTTACTCGCGAGGACACTATGATTAAGTAGATAGATAGATAGATAGATAGTAAGTAGATAAGTACGAGGACTAAGTAGATTTATTTTCTTCCGTTTACTAACTAGATTCGACTGCTAGTTGTTTTCTATGCATCAAGCACTTTTTTTTCCAGATCTGTTCGCGAGCTGGCCGATCATCACAAATTGAAGGTTCACTTAGATGGAGCGAGAGTCTACAATGCGGCCGTTGCCACAGGAATGGATGTCTCAGAGATTGCGAGGTAACAAATAACACTAATATTTTCGTTTTATACATTAATATTAGGCTGAGGAAAAAGTAATGTCGGTTTTTGTCACAAAATTGTTTATTGCTAAAAACATAGACAAACGCAGATCAATCAATGAGATATTCTCCATTATTATTGATGACTTGTTCCCATCTTCGTCGCAAGTCCCTGATCCAATCCTCAAAAAAAATGAGGAGTTTTCGAGCCAAAATAAGTGTCGACTGCTTTTTTGATCTGTGCATGATTCTCAAACTTTTCGCCCATAAGAAAACTCTTCAACGACCAAAACAAAAAATAATCTGATGGGCCCAGGTCCGGACTATAAGGTGCGTGGGGCAGAAGTTTCCAACCAAGCTCGTCGATTTTTTGCAGCGTGAGGTTTTGCATTATCATGCAAAAATGGCACTTTTGATGTTTCAACGCTCAATTTCTTTAAAGCCTCGTTAACTCTCATCAACTGTTTTGAATAAAGATCAGTAGTGACAGTTTCACCCGTATTCAACAACTCATAACACTCCAAACCTTTTGGATTCCACCAACAGCAAAGCATAAGTTTCTTTCCATGAATACCGGGCTTTGAAGTTAGTTGTGGGGGTTGACCAAGAGAAAGCCACTGATTTTTGCGCTTCACATTCTCATATTGAATCCATGTTTCGTCAGATGTTAGAATTCTTCCCCAAAAATCATGAGATTTGCCTTTTTGAAGCAGAGTAGAGCTAACGATAACACGAGTTGTTTTATTGCCTTGAGTCAGTTCATGAGGAACCCATATTCCGCAGTGAATTGTTTTTCCTAATTGATGCAAGTGGTTGTCGATTGTTTTTTGGTCCATCCCAAATGTGTCCGCTGACTCACAAGTGGTAATGGTTGGATTGATTTCAATGGCATCAAACAATGTCTCATCTGAAATCTCCTGGGGTCGTCCAGACGGTTCCTCGTCTTGGAGACTTTCATTTCCATCTTTGAACCGCTGAAACCATCTTTGGCATTGTCTTTCGCTAATGCTGTTTTCCCCAAAAACTTCAATGATTGTCCGATGCGATTCAGCCGCGGATTTCCCTTGTTTAAAATCATACCACAAAGTTCGTCTTGCATTTTGTACCTGAAAATATTGTTAAATTTGTAAAAATTTGTAAAAGTTAAATATAATATGAAAGTATAGAGTGTCTAGCTGATATCTATTTGAAAAAATCGCATAAGCAAGGAACTGGAGAATTGCCAACAACGGGAATTCAAAACCGACATTACTTTTTCCTCAACCTAATATTATCTTTTTATTCAAACTAATTACGTTTAGCTATGTGGACTCAATTCAAATGTGCTTCTCAAAGGGTTTGGGATCTCCAGTCGGTTCGATTGTTGTTGGGGAGAAGAAATTCATCGATCTCGTTCGACACAAGAGAAAAGTTAGTTTCGTTCAAACTATTAGTGAAATTTGATTTTAAAATAGCTACAATTGTTGGAGATTATCAAAATCGGACTTATAAGCTGTTTATCTAAAGAATCAGTAACCTTCAACACTTTCCAGGCTGTCGGTGGTGGATGGCGTCAAGCGGGAATCCTGGCCGCAGCCGCCATGTATTCCCTCGATCATGCTATCAAGACGGTGACACGGGATAACAAAAATGCGGTTAGTTTACCATTTTCTTTACAATATCTGGGCCAGGGTTGATCAAAAGGCATTTTTCCGGGTCAAGCAAGGTCACGGCTGTACCAAAGGCACATTTTGGCTGGCTTTGCTGCAGGTCAGCCAATGGCCAATCCCTTGCCGGCTTTACTTTACTTCAGGCCTGGATCTGACTTGACCTGACTTGCTTACAAACCTGATGCTGCATCCTAGAATGGTAATAGATTAGTAAAACCATATTAGACTACTCTTTATAGATTCATAAGATTAGTTAGATTAATAGGTTAATAGCTTTATAGATTAATAATTAATAGATAAAGCGCAACTCAACTCTCAATTATCAAATTTCAGGCTATTCTGGCAAAAGGTTTCAACGATCGAACGCCGAATCATCTGAAAGAAGCCCTGCACGCAAATGAGGAAGGATTGACAAATATTGTGGTGGTTCGTTGCGCGAATGGGGTCACACCGAGTCAGGTGAGGGAAACAGGATGCAAGTGATACTTATAAACCGGAGTGTTAACGGTGAACGGTAGCATTTACTGCCGCTAGTACTCCTTAATTATTGAGATCCTATAGTTAGTAGTAAAGCGTTGGCTTCAGTGTATTTTTTTTACGACTTTCTCCTTCCAGATGGTTTCCTTTTTCCAAGAGCGCAGAGTGTTGTTCATGGTTTTCGACGATCATCGAGTGAGACTTGTGACCAATTGGGGATTGACTGATGAGCATATTCCGATTATTTTCGAGGTAAACTCTTAAACTAAAAGCACTACTGGTAACTTTGTTATGAAATTTGTTATAAGAGTTTTACTGCACAACGCTATCATGCGATCCTTAGCATTGCTAAATTTAAAAGTTCTATTCTTTTTGAAAGTTTTGAATCAACTAGCAATTTTAAACCCTAAATTAAAGAACTTTAGAGTTTAAAAGTATTGTATTTGTGGTTAGAATTGTTGGTATTTGTTACTATTTTCGACCACACTTTGTATTTTGTCACAAAAGTCTTCATTTGTGGCTGTAAAGTGTAAAAATATGAAAATTTTATGGCAAAATGCAAAATGTTGTCGAAAATTAAAAGACAATTTGATACTTGTTACTTAGTTTGACTTGTCAGGGACATGTTTTCACCATTTTTCCTTCAAATGATCCATTTTCAGGTCTACGAGGAGTTCATCAAAACGTTGCACTGAAATCTCACAAGCAACGGAAAATTTCTAAATGCTCAATAAATATTTATGAAATTTCCAGAATTACACAATTTCTCATTGGTCAAAAAACCATTTTCACTTGCTGAATTGCTGAAATAGAAGCCTTGAAAAGATAAAAATGTCAAATACAAAATTCTGAACATTTTTAGACATTAGACTTGTACATTGTTTGGAATACTGGATTTTAAAAACCTAATTTAAAATTTAGTTTTCATTTCGCATGTCCTGGTATGAAGTGGAGACGGAGCGGGTCGGTTTTTGGGAACACGATTACGCGATTCCCACGTATTCGGTGTAAGTTTCACTTGTTTAGTAGCTAAATTTGGTTACAATTACAAGTATATTGTAAATTTAGATAGTTTAATTGAATAGATTTTTAAAAAAACATCCCTAAGCCAGTTCATTTTAAACTCTGAACCCTTCAGGGCGAACCCAAAAGAATCGAAACGATCTTTTCAGAGAAAAAAATTACTAATTTTAGCAATAAACTTGGATTAGGCTTATATTTTTAAAATATTCTATTAGATTTTCAAGTTTTTAACGATTTAGCATAGTTGGGTTGATCGTGCTGTGCTGTGTACCATCCTCAAGGATGGTACACAGCACAAGTTCGAAGTTTTCTAGAGATCCCCGCATTGTGCAAGTGTACGTCGTCTACGAGAATCGCGCTCAAACGTTTGACAAACGGGAGCAAGCTTTTGGGAATGAAGAGGTTTTTTTAAAAATACAGTAGCTTGATATTTTTCTTAGGTAATCTACGAAGAGATCTACCCGTCAACGAGCACGGCTTTCGATCAAGAAGTGGCGCTGGAGCTGGATGTTTGTGATTATGAAGAGGTGGGGATTAAAATGCGAAATAAGAGTTATCTATAGTATAAAAGTAAAAATAACCATAAATACAATATTCTATGTATATGTAAAGCTCAAATGATGACTCATTTTTGTAACTTTATCTATAGTATACTTTTATTCAAAACCTAAAGCAAAATCGCGACTCTAGAAGTTTTTGCGGTCAAAATTTCAGCTCAAGTGAACAGTAGACTTAAAACTATTATACATTTACGTTCTTCTATTATACTTTTTATTACATTGCAATTTTTAGGAAGCCTGCACATCGGAATATCGCTGGTACAATGAACGTTACGAGGAAACGGTGAAAGTCGACGACGAGGATTACCCGCTCGATTCACCGCCAATTTTGGAACCAGTACGGATTTTGAGAAGAACTTTAGCATCAAGTCTGCTATCTAAACTGGAAATGTACTAGATTTTAAATGAATATTTTTTAGCAAGTGTCACAAATCGTTCGGAACACAGAGCTTTGTCGCTTATGCGCACAGAATATACCGACTGGATGCCGGAGAATGCATATAAGAAGGTGGGGTTTTTTTATAAAAGTCACCCATTTTCGAAAACTACCCTAATCAAATCACCAGTTTACATCTAATCAACCCAATTTTTGTATCATTCGATGAGGAATCACAAGGCTCACTCGATGATAGAAAAATTAGAGCTGATCGAACTGGTGATGTGATTACGATTTCGAAAAAAGGTGCCTTTTTCATGCATTTATTTCTATATTCTAGATTCCATTTACAACGAAAACTCTTCCGTTGCCCTCATTGTAAATTCTCTTCGAACTACAGCTACGGAAATGTAAGAGCTCATATGTGGCAAATGCATTATAGCCGGGTGAGTGTGGAAAAGAATGATCAACTGAAGCGTTTTCCAAAATGTGTTCACTTTCAAAAAAGCTACCTCACTTTCAAAAAAGCTACCTCACTTTCAAAAAAGCTAAAAAGCTCACTTTCAAGATTGCGATCTTGCTTACAGTGTTTTGATATATCTTAATCTTTACCTTGACTGAAATTGTGCTTTTTTTGACGGAAATCATTTAGCTGAAGCCGATCACAGTGAAGAACAGTTTAAACGACGTGATGATGGATTACGCTTACATGTGAGTATCATATTGTAGTTCTTTATTATATTGTAGTTCTTCTGGCGCACTCAATTATTCAAATCTTGTGACAAAATGAAGTTGAGCGTGCCAGAAAGGGTGTGTTTCTAGAAAAGTACATAAAAATGTTGTTTAAACCCCATGATTCTAGGTGTTTCGGTGATCAACGTCTTTTGGCTAGATATGAGAAAGAGGTGGTCGATACAGTGATGGATTTGATTGATTGGGCGGCTGATGGGGTAAAGCCAGAGGATTTGATCCCTGTCGCACAGCAAACGAGACAAGGTTAGCCAAAAATTAGGACAAGATCTGGCCTATATAATCCTAGAATTTAGGATCAAGTCAAAATGCGGTTTGGGCAGAAATTGGCGACGATGGACTCCCGTTTGACATCATTGATCCAGGAGAGGAACAAGAAATGGGAAACTCGAGTGAAAAGGTGACACAATGATCTTGCTATTGTTTCAAAATGATTCTATTGTATGGGAAAAATGAAAGCTATTTGAATTAGAGCTCAAATCTTTAGCATACTTTTTTTCTTAGAGCACTCAGCGAATCGAATCGCTTCAAATCACGCAAGAGCCGGCTGCGAAACGATCGAAAAGGCCAACGTCTACGTGAGTGAAAAAAACTGGGCTTATCAATTAAAGTGTCTAAATTAAAAGATATTCAGTCCAAAGTAGGTTTTGGATATTAGAAGCAGAGATCTTACAATTGGAAACCGAACATACTTTGTAACATTATTTAGCATTATTATCAAATCCATCATTCTAGCTGTCTCCTTTGTGGGCTTCGTGAGATCACTCATCGAGAACGTCACGTTCTCCAGCATCATTTCAAGCGACTCGTTTATCTGTGCCCACATTGCTCTTTTGGGAGCACCTATGCGCCGAATGTAATCAAAGATCATATGCGAGTGAGTACAACAAACGACTTGACATTTTCAACAACTAAAACAAGCGAACTGTACTGTACTCTGGAGTCTTATTTAATAGTCCATTTAACTATTACTGCATAAGTTATTACTACAGTATACAGTTACATTACATCTACTGAATCTACTGGATACTGTACTATGTATAATAGGTATGAGCATACTGTACTATAATAGGTATGACAAAACTTGACGTAGTTCTGTTGAGCTCCCCTTGGCTCGAATTGCATATAATTTCTGCTAAATATAATTTATTATTTATCTAAACTAGGTTAGAAAATCAATCACAAAGCAACAAATAAAATAATATTTTTGAAATCGATATAACTTTGATTGCCACAACTTTAGTACTTTGTCGAAATATTCGGCACAGTATAGTATTATACTGTACTGGGATACTGTAGCTGTGTAAACTCTAACTTTTATTATGCTAATTTTAGACAAAGCATATAGCTCTTGGCGGAAATCCAGTGGACATTCGGGGTCAAGTGACGAAAGCGATCGATTCGATCTACGAGAAATGCTTTGGACCGATCTCATACATTGATTCCCAATAATTGACAATAATTTGCATAAAATCAATAAATTATTTATTAAATTATACACTAAACTAATCGAATGAGTAGAAAAATGAATGAGACCAATGAGAAGTGGACGAGTGATCGAGAGGATTCCAGTTTATTCAAAAGAACTAAAAATTTGTGTTGTTTGGTCGGGATTCAAGGGGCGTACTAGATCGTGAACAATTTGTGAAAAGCTACAGAAATATCTTTCTATTATCTTTTAGAAAACACAGAGCCACTTCTAGCCTTAACATTTGTTTTTTTTTGGAATTGTAGATAAAGTTACCTGAAGGCAGCCGAAGAGAGTCATCGGGAAGCTGCCGAACGTCCGGTGGCATTAAATGCATTTGTCCAGACTGTAATTTACATTTATCTACCAAATATTACTACTAATTTGAGCATGATAGACTTATTCTTGTACTTTGTACTCTAAAATAGAATTGCGCCCTTTTTGGTGCACTGAATCAGAAATTGAAGACTAGTGCACGAGAAGGGGGATGTTTACATTGTTGAGTACAAAGTACATTCTAAAAAACAAGCCCAAAGTAACGACTACGGTAGTGGTAAGGTAACGACTACGGTAGCGGTAAGGTAACGACTACGGTAGCAATACGGCAACGACTACGGTAGCAATACGGCAACGACTACGACTACTGTAGGTTGTTCGTTGTTCTTTGGACTGCACTCCTTAAACCAACCATCACATTTTGTATCCTATTCACTCGTTCATCTTCAATCGGCTCCTCCTCAACTTCTCGACTTTCAAAGGGTTCCAAAGCTTTCCTATGGAAAACGTTTTTCTTCCACGACCCAACACCATTCTCTTCTCTCCAGTGCAATCCGCTGTGATGTCGGTGGCGATTGTGGAGACGATCCTGAAACTTTTAGTACTTATACAGGGTATTATATATTTATGTCGACTATCTCTTTGATAGATTAACTCCAAGTTCAACCCTAATCGTTTTAAGTGTGATAATAAATTTTAAAGCCCGTAATCTTAACTAAATCTCTCTCTTAAAAGTTGCCCAATTGAAGTTATACAACTCATTTTACTATTTGGATACTATTTGATCCCTCTCTGCTGCCATTTTTGGCGATTTTCATTATAAATCTTACTTTAAAATGCTTTAAAGCTCAGGATTTTTTGATTAAACTCACTTTTCTTTGCACTTCGACCGAAATTCTCAAATTTCTTTCATGACAAAGCCCGAAGATCTCGTTGTCAAGCCCGTCGAATTCACCCGTTGAAGTGGCTGAAGATAGATTTGAGTTTATTTTAGTTTCAGAACAAGTTGCATAGCTGCTTTTCACTATAGTGAGACAGTAGACAGTTTATTTTTGTTTCAGAACAAATTGCATAGCTTTCTTTTCTTCAACTTACTCAAAAAGTACAGCGTCGAGTCTCGTTCCTCTTCTTCGAAATCCACTTTTACCGTTTTTGTCGAGTGAATTTTGAGATGAGAAAAATGAGCGAATGAGGATGAACAATTCACAATCAATTCCGATTCATCACCAATGAAACAACTCTCAAAACATGGCTTCTTTACCTGAAAAACTGTTAAATAGAGAGAAAAAGGTGTCCTTTCTATTGTACTTTGTACTTTCTGGTACAAAGTACAATAGAAAGCTTTCATTTTCATCAAAATCGTTGTTGCAATGAAGAAAAGAATGCAACAAGAAAGGTGTTTTTAGTAAAAAGTTCAAAAAATCAGTTTAGCAGTGCAGAAAAATTGGAGTGTAATGTAAAAGTCTAATCTTTTGTCATAATTTCGATACTTTTCGATACGATACTGTAGCGAGACAGTAGACTGTTTTATTTTGTTGTTAATCGAATCTTTTTACCAACTTTGTATATCAATAACACTTCCGGTGCCTGGGGACAGTGAAAGCGGAGAGAATCTCGAGAGAGAACCCTCAGCCGCCAATAAGGATCCACTTCAAAACTAAAATCGTTTTTGTTCTTTGTTTTCAAACTATTCACAATTAAACCTTGGATTATTTGAATTCCAATGAATATCGTGAATCCGAGATTTCAGCACTTTTTCTAGTACTGCACTAAGGCTGCAGTGGAAAACCAATGAGAATACGAGCAATGAAATTTGCATACAGTTTTCGAATATAGAGAATTGGTAAATCTGAAAGTTTAGTTTTAAAGTTACCGTATTTCTTCGAATAGAAGACCGGGTAAAGAGTATCATCGCATACTCCTCCGTAGCAGCCCTTTTTAGCAGCCCGTATCTGCGTAGCAGCCCTTTTTAAAATTTCTTTTCTGCATAAAAGCTTTCAATGAAGTGCTATAGAGCTGGAAAATGGCTCAAAAACCGTTAGCTCATGTGGTATTTTTGAGCCATTTTCCAGCTCTATAGCACTTGATTGAAAGCTTTTATGCAGAAAAGAAATTTTAAAAAGGGCTGCTACGCAGGAGTACGCGATGATACTCTTTACCCGGTCTTCTATTCGAAGAAATACGGTAAGCTCTAAAATATTAAAAAATATAGATTTCAATTCCAAAAATAGTTATAGAAATTTGGATTTGATCATTTTTTTTGCTTTTTCTCTTTAGCCAATGCTTCTTTTTGAGTGCTAATAAGCCGTATTCCCTTGAGATTTCAATTATTTTCAAAAAAGAAAAAAAGAAAATAGTGAATATTGAAATATTAATCATAAAAAAAATATTTCAATATTGAAATTTTGTTGTAAATCAATAAGCAGATAACTTAAACTTTAGTTTTTTGCTTTTAATTCGAGAAAAATTCAATCCAATTCAAATCCGGGAGTGGGACAAATGCGACCTTTTTTTTTGCGCACCCGGACATTTGCGCACCTTGCCCATTAGCGCACCTTTTTTCGCGTTTTAAAATGTTTAAAAAGCTCTAAAAAGCTAATATTAACCAATTTCTATTCCAAATGTTGTTTTTCTAGGTAATTTGAGGGTGTTGAATTCAAATTTTGACATAACAGAGCGTGTGGAACCAATTTGAAAGACAAAACGGCTAGATCAAATTACAGAAAATTGTCGATTTTTCTCTTTGTATAACTCCGTTCGTTTGTTTCCACAAGCTCTGATATGTCAAAATTTCGATTCTACGCCCTAAAATTACCTAGAAAAACAACTTTTAGAATAGAAATTGGTTAATATTAGCTTTTTAGAGCTTTTTTAAAACGCGAAAAAAGGTGCGCTAATGGGCAAGGTGCGGAAAAGAAGGTGCGCAAATGTCCGGGTGCGCAAAAAAAGGTCGCATTTGTCCCACTCCCTTCAAATCCAGATCAAAACAAGATCAAATTTTGATTCAATTAGAATCAAAAAAAAAATTCTAAACATGCATTTTCCCACACCAAAATCCAGTTTTAGAGAAATTTCACAATTTACAACTTTTCAGTTGTAAAAATTTTTTAGAATAAACTTTTTGGAGTGAAAAAGTGACTGAAATGACTGAAAAAATGACTCTAACCAATAAAAGATGGAGCCCAATCCTCTGTGAGTGAGAAAATGAACGCTTTTGCAAATAGAATTTTGTTTTATTATGAAAAAAATTTAGTCACCCGACACAATGAAGAATTTTGCCATAATAGAATTCTTTTGCTTGGCGGATTACGTTAAAAATCGCCGGCTTATCAGTTGTTCCGACGAGACACTCCCTTTACCCTCAAATTGTCAGACGTCATTTTTGGGGAAACGTTTATTTAGATGAGAATTCGAAAACAAAAACATAAACTAACACATTCACAGTGAGACGACTCCACTGGTCGACCGTACTAATGAATTACCAGTAAAAATCTTCACCAAATTATCGGCTATCGGACGTTTGAGCGCCCCGCCCCTTTTGCCATTGGCAATCTAACTTTGAGCTTAAATATCTTGGTGTTGGGCTGTTCAATTGAAAGATTCTTGGTATCATTGGATGCGCCAAGTCTTTCTCTGTCGATTGGTACAAAAACTATGAACAGCCCAACACCAAGATATTAAAGTTGGATTGACAATGGCAAAGGGGGCGGGGCGCGTATCAAATTATCAGTTAAACTTTTATAATAAGAAAGATTAGAGAAAGAAAGACAAAAATGCTAAAAACAATGACTTTATTGAGAAAAACTATGAAAAAGCGCTAAACTGTGGCAAGTCTTTGTGCTTTTTTTGGGTAATAGCTACTTTTAGACCGGCTCTATGTGTAAAAAATAAAACAAGAGCAAAAGCATAGAAGCAGGAAAAATTATGACAGTCATGCGAAAAATTCGGCGCAGAAATGGGCAGCGCTGATTTGGGTACCCCCCCCCCCTTTAATCTGATCATTAAATGCGCTCAGAAATTCTTCAAATATCTCCAATCTCTTCCCAAACATCTTTTCCGAACCACTTCACACTAATCCTTGAAAAGCTCCACAATAAAAAGCTGAGGATTCCAATGAATACGCTAAACTGATTCCCAGTGATCCGTAAGAGCTTTTGTTTTTTTTCTGCATCAGTTCCAAATTTGGAATTTGAAAAATTTCTTTGCTATCAAAGGCGGTGATAAAAATTCTCGACTCGTAAAAGTGTTTTCCGGAATTTCAGTGACAATTGCGAAAAAATGCAGAGCGGTTTTTAATTGGTGATTCAGCAAAAATATGATGGGAATTGGAGAATTTACGATTTTTTTACAATCGGTGGTACATTTGCAAATTTGCATAGTTTAAATACGAATTGTCACCACAACACTATTACATCGATTTTTATGAAATTTTTATGCTGTTTGAGTTATGTGGGCGAGGTTTTTTGAACTTGTTAAGATCCGTTAGGCTCGGTCCTTATAAAAGGGATCAAAAACAGAGCTTCTCCCCCACTTTCGCACATCGCAAAGTGGAAAGATGGCCAACCCTCTCGTAGCGCTGCAATACATGACGCTGTTGAAGCTTAGTGAAAAGCTACTCCAGTCAATGGCTTCAGGATATTGGACTTCTTCATCGCAAAAGAACGTGTCCAAACTGTTGAAACGACGACATGAAGCGTTACGATCGTGGGCATCAAGGCGCAACTCCTCGTCGGGAATACAATCGGCAACGATGCAAGGACCGACCTAATCGCATCGGATCTACGTAGGTACGTTCTTCGAGAATACCCATGTTACCCTCAGGAAAGCAATGCATCTTGCCTACTACCACTCTCGCCTCAGCGCTTCTGTTAACGTCATGACCAGAGAAACGAAAACCGACAGAAACACCGTCATGCTGTGGTGCCAATGGTTTCGTGACATCTTCGCAAAGTACTTTGCTGCTAACCCACGAACAATCGGTGGTCCTGGTGTTCACGTGGAGATCGATGAAACGATCATCAGCAAGCGCAAATACAACCATGGTCGCCTCCCGTAAATACAGTTTGGTGACGACCCATGGTTCCACTTCTGGTCGCAAGTGCAACAACATTACCCGTGCCAGCGAGGTAAAATAACCCTCAACCCAACGGCCTTCTTTAGGGGTCACAAACATAAAAACAAAATATTAAAACTCAAAACCAGAAGAAACAATAGATGTAGTTTTTCGGAATCTACGCAGAAAATTACCTCAGAAAAAGTGGTTTTCAAAAAAATTGTGCCAACCTCAACTAGCCTAGTACCCAATCGGTCACTAACAACACAAGCTCTATCATACAGGCCTGGGTTTCTTTCAGACTACGAAATCTATAGTTCAGAACGATTTACTAACGATATTACGATATTTAAGTTGATTGGAAGATTGAGAACCCATTGGTGATTTCTTTTGCGACACTTTACATCTTACTGTAGTTAATGGGTATTTAGCCAAGACAAAAAGTTTCTTCCACACAAAAATCATTGACGCGAGTTAGGGATTGAGGTGCCGTTCTTGTTTTTGCCACTTTTTCTCATTGAACACAATCAAGGTATTTTCTTTTAGTGATGATGAAATCGGAGGGTATGTTGACCCTGCTGCCGCCATTCTTCGATTTTGTTGACGTTTTCAATTGTGTGATCACGAATGCAATTCTCGCCTTCTTCATGTGTTTGGCAATGATCTTCCAAAACTTCGGTCACCCAATGAAGTGTATTGTGGCGGGGAAGCCTGGTAAATTGTTACATTAATGACTTTTTAATCTTTTAACTTTAGCTATCTGGCAAGGATTCTACAATGAGTATTGCTTTACCCAAGGAAGATTTCAAATTGTGGATGATGCATCAAACAGCCCGAATGCATTCGTCCCCGTTGGATTTGCAGACTTTTTCGTCCGAAACTTTCAAGTAAAGATTTATTTTGATGTTTGTTAACCATCGTTTGGTTTAGTGGATGCCTTACTTGTTCATTCTTCAACTGGTTCTCTTCGCAATTCCAAAATGTGCATGGACAGCTTTTGCTTTATCATTCAAAAATGGTAACAAATGTGTGTTCTTCTAGTTTATTATAAGCGTTGTTTAAGTTAATCAAACCGTCTCGGCGATTTCACAGGCTCGTTGCATAAAATCATTGAAAGGTGAAGAAAGAATGAAAGAAGTTGAAGCAATTTGCGAGTTTTTGCTGCGCAGTCTTGGATCTCCACAAGAAAGGTGGTTTTGGTTGATGGTTTATTGAATCGCAATTTGTTATTTTTAGACGACACTGCTTACAAGGTCAACTAGCGGTACTTCTGTATGTCGTTCAAAAATGGCTCCAAGTGTTGAACCTGATTGCTCAATTTGGAATCTGCATGTTTCTGGTTGATAGCACTTCAATCTTCTGGGGATTTGAGGTAAAAATATCGTTAAATTTAAGTTTATTTCTTTCTTTATTTAGTTGATGAAGGAAGTCTTTATTCGCCCATCCAAAGAATCGATGAGGAAATTTCCAAAGAAAGCAATTTGTTATGTGCCTGACGATTATGGATACGAGGTTTTTTTTAGCTCTGTTATCTTTGATCAAAGATCATTTAGAAAGGATCGCTGAACATCACGACTCCAAATCAAATGCTTCAAGCAAACTGCTTTATCTCCATCAACAGCGTTTATGAGCAACTCTACGTTTTCCTGTTCTTCTGGCTCAGTTTCCTCTTCATCATCACGTTTCTGATGGCCATTCATTACACGTTGTTTCTACTGTTACCACGATGGAGGATTTATTGTGCTTCAAAATATTTGCCTGTGAGTTTTAGAAATATGATTTATAAAACAAAATTAAAAGTATGATTTAGACTCCAAAGTCGTTGGCGATGGGTTCAGCTGTTGGACAAGCCAGCCCGGCACATATCTCATTGCCGTCAAATCATCTTTCGGAATATTTCATAAACTCGGTTCTAATGGTTGGTTTTTGTTAAATAACAAAAAAAAGCAAAGCCTTTAGGCCGATGGTTGCATGGCACTGTGGTTTATAAAGGAGATGGCTGGCAATCAAGTATCAGCTGAAATGGCGCAATGCATTTGGAACTTTTCAGTGAGTCGGACAGTGTAAGGCTTTCGTATTTTAAGGTGTATTCATAAAACGTGATTCAATTAAAAATTTCAAATGTCGCGTTTTAGAGAATCACAGCCCATTCTTCCAACTCGAGGCACCCTCAACTATCTCGGCAATCACAGTAGCAATGTGTTGTCCCCTTCAAAAGTCGGCCTTTATCCGGGGGAAAAATTAGTCAGCTTGATTTTTATTTTTTGTAAATTCGATTTTAGTCACCTTCAAATCTTTTGACCACACGCTCAACTTCACTCATCCGCCCAATGGTCCGCAAGCCATCAACAGAACAAGAACAACCTTCAAGAATACCAACGACGACTTCCAAATCTTCATTTCAACGGACTCCATCTTCTACAAGTTCTGGAATTGGCGATCGTTTATCAAAGGAACAATCTTCCTACAAAAGCCCTCGCAAGTAAAGTAAATGGAGTCGATTGGCCGCTATTATTGTTTTTATTGTTATTTGTTTAATGTTTTCACTTTTGTATGTTATAGTTTTGCCAATGTTTTCAGTAGTGTCTTTGATTTGCCCCCTTTTGTTGTCCTTTTTGTTTCGGTGCTTTGTGCCTTTAATGAAAAGGCTTTTGTTGTCTATCCTATTTATTGTTTCGATTGTATTTGTATAGAATTTCTAAAATAGCTTTAGTTGTTTGTTTAATAAATGTGTGTCGAAAATTTGTTTATGAAAGGACGGTAGTAACTGTTGAATCGTTAATATCTAAATCGTTTTATGATGGCGGTAGAAAAGAGTAATAATGCGAAGCCGACGACTGTCTTCCTGTGATTCTATCATGCACTGAAAATATACCGTATCCGTTAAATTTTGTCGGGCATTACCGTAACTCGCAATCGCAAAAGTGCCGTCGGAAAGTTCGCATTTCCACTTTTCTTTACAAGATTTGATTTAAAGTTAAAAGTCTTATCTAGATTTTAGATATTTATAGAAAGAATATTTAGAAATGGAATTTTCATATATTTAGAAAGAAGTCGATTTCGCAATGCTTCTCTACGATAGGATTGCCAACACCGCCAATTTTGCAAAGGGCCGCACCGAAAGCCTCTACAACTATGGTTTGTGTTTAGTGAATAAATTGTTAATGTTTTGTTTCAGGTATTGATTCTGCCAATACGGTTATCGGTTCTGGTCGTGATGCTGTGGCTAAATGGATGCGCATCGTGCTGGGCACAGGTGTCATTTTTGGATTGTTGGCTCTGGCAGTATTCACCTCGATCATCTCTTTCCTTTGCGACTACATCTTTACTCACTGGGTTGATTTGAACGATGTGACGGGAATTATCAAGGTATAGGTAGCAATTTGTATTTCAATTTTAAAATCTTTAGATACCACTTTTCTTCTACAAGTTGTCAACGACCATTGTCGCTAGAGTCATGAAGATTGAATGGAACATGGGAGCCACCATTGAACAAACAAGCTCGTACGTCCGCACGGCCGTTGGCGACGCAGTCACATCAGTGAAGCAACTTGATTTTAAAAAGTGGTTTTTTTCTATATACTTATTTCGCCTATTCATTGGTTTAGGATGAACTTGGAAGAAGTCACGATGAGCGGCATTGATACGTCTAATCAACATCTAAATGATCAACTCACTGTATTGAAGGACAAAGGCACCGTCGTACTCACTGGCTCAAACTTGAACGGTTTCGTCACCTACATTGCGGAGATCAAGGATAGATTTGACGAGACCGAGAATCTTTTTGACGTCCAAGGAGAAGTAAATTTACTTTGTGTTGGCATACATTTTTGTTTGATTTAGGTAATCGATGGTTTCTACGAGGGACTTGATCAAGTGAAAGCCCAGTGGAAGAGCTTCCGCGGCGAATCAAAGCAAAAGTAATAATGAACTGCTAATTTCTCAACTTATGGTTTGGGTATCATGTTATTTTGTGTTTTCAAATTTGCAAGTTATCATTCCATATCTGTGAATAAAGCTGAAAGATCTTAGAATTCTTCTTCTATTTTGCGATAGCATGTCTATTGATATCTGCGGAATGTAAAAAAGTGAAAAAAAAGAGGGAATATTGCTTTCTTGAGGCAGCGTGCAATGGTTGTTTCTCCAAGAGGAAGAAGCCGATCGCTCAGCCGTAGCCCGGTTCGACGCAAGGTATTGTCTTTCCTTGAAATACAATCGACTTTTCAATTGTTGTAACAAACTACCCAGCGTTAAAGCAAGTTATGAAGAAGTTTGCTTACATTAAAGTTTAATTTCCGCTAGAGGTTCTATTCTGAAGAACATTTGTCAAGCTGTGACTAGGGTAATTGAACACTTTGCAATGGATTCTCTAATTACGTTTTCAACAAAATAAAAAAAGTGGCACTGACCCCTAGGGTTCTTTAAAATTTAGAGTCGATTGTATTCTGCTTTAGTGCACCAAGAAAATTCAGTTACCAAGTTAAACTTATAATTAAGGCAAGAGAAATTCAAAGCAATCCGTAAATTCTCAAATGTTCAACTCAATGTTTCGTGACAATTCAGCATCGTGGCCGCTCTCTTTCTCGTTCTGTAAGCCGTGGATCTCGTTCGCCATCGATGAGTCGGGATAGGAAACGCTCGTATCGACGCTCTTATAGCAGGTACCTTTATCATTATTTATTTTAGTCCAAACTCTTTTGTGCGACTCAAATAAAAACGAATGAATGTGAGTTTAGGTCACCTCCTCGCGTTGACAGAAAATCCCGTCGTCATACTTATGGAAATCGCTATAATCCAGAGCCAAATAGGTATTTTTTATGCGAGCTTCATTGATTACAATATTTTAGATGCCTTGGTGTGTTCAATCTTCCCAAATCAACGACAGAAAGGGAGCTTGACAAGCTGTTTGGAAAATATGGAGACATTGAACAGGTTCAGTAAATCAGTAACAATAATTTGTTTGCTTTAGATCCGCCTTGTTCGTGATCACTACACCCGTGAGTCAAGGGGCTATGCTTTTATCTACTTTGATACGACGAAGGATGCAACTCGTGCTCGAGACCGGATGATGGGAGCTAACGTGCGTTTACCCCATTAGAAATTTAAACGTTATTCCTTTTAACATAAACTTAACCATTCTAATTTTAGATTGGCGGTAGGGAAATCCGTGTGGACTTTTCAATTGCTGGAAGTAACCGCCGACTCTCGCCTAGACGTAACAATGAGGATTATCGGTATACTTGACTAAAACTTCTTTCTGCACTTGCTTTTAGTCGCTCTCGTTCAAGAGCTCGATCTCGTTCAAGGGCTCTCTCAAGCCGCTCAATGTCGCCACGTCGTTCGCGACGCGACGGGGGCTCTCGAAGCAGATCACCAGCTCCAAAACAGTACGGTTTATTTTCTTTAAAATACAATCGTAACAGGCCTTTTTGTTAGAGTGATTTTCTTTATGAAGTCACTTTGTGGTAATTACTCCCGGAATATTATCATACAATGTTATTGATTTAGGCCTCGTCATTCGGCTTCAAAGTCTCCTTCGCGTGAGAAGAGCGTCTCACAAGAACCATCAGTTCACAGCAAGAAGTCACCCGAGCCTTCGCCTTCATAAACGTATGGAAGTGAAAGGTTTAATTCTTACATTGTTTTTAATACGTTGTTCTTAATGCCCAGTTTTTGGTTTAAATAAAATTGTTAAAGTTTGTTGAATATTTTGTAAAATGCCCAAATGCCAAAGATTTGATCGGCATTTTTCCTGAGCATTTTCATATGAAATTGGAAAGAAATTGGCTTTGTTTGCAAAAAATGAGGGACATTGTTTAAAATTCAAATTTGAAACGCCCAGCGTCTCATTATCTGTCATTTTTTTAAGCTATATTTTTTGGATGAGACTCTTTTTCATTCAATATTTTATGAAAGAGCATTTTCTTTGCTCATTGTCAGTAATGTTACAAGTCCTAAAACCGATGTTGTATGAAAAGATGGCCGACGGAATTAGGTTTTCCGCTGTGAATGAGCCCGATGGATGCGTTAGGCCTCGTTAGGTAAGGATGACCAAAAGGGGAGCCTTTTAAAAAGAAAACCTAGGCACAAACGAGATACATTGTTGTTTTTCTTTAGACTTGAATTATTCGTTCAGGCAAATACAATAAGCATAATGCACTTCATAAATTTATGGGGTAATGGTTCGTTTTCATTTTAATCCGCATTCGTGTCTAGGGATTTACTAGTATCTAGTTTACATATTAGTAGCCAGTGATCCTTTACCTTGCTTCTTTTATTCTTTAACCCCATCTTTACATTCAGTGAACGACTTTGTTGACTGCCGGCCGTTTGTCGGTATTTAGATTGAATGAAAGGTGGGGATATTTGAGAGAAAATGGGGATCGGCTCCCAGAAGAGTCAAATTTCAATCCAGACCCTCTTTTCTTCTTTCTTTCCCCATTCTTCTCCTCCAATCATCAAGTCATCCTTTGGGATTCTGGATTCTTCTTCAATGTTTTTGCCTAAACACTAATGAAGTTGTCTGATGGATTACGTTGTTTTTTTAGATTTGATAGGAAAGCTTTAGGTAGTGACTCACCGTAATATCTTTTAACAAAGCTATTTCTGGGTTACGATAAGATTCTTGGTGCTATCGAGGTGCCACTTAATGCTTTTGTCAAAGTTTTTTTCTAAAAAATGCACCCGCTACCGTAATCCCATGATTGCAGCGTTCCCTACAGGCTTTTTTTTTCCAAAGAAACGGATCTCGTTCTCAATTAGCCAGTCTCTCAAAAGTATTTGACCACACGAGAAAGAAAGACGAGTTATTTGATTGACCATAAGAGAAGGACAATGTGGTGGTGCGCGAATTGTATCCTCCCTCTTCATAATGAGTCTTTCCCTTTCCTTTTTTCGGGGTGAGATTGTTGAATAGTAAGGGGGGAAATGGGTATTGTCATCGATCCTCTCCTTCGGATTCACCTCACCTTTCCTTTCCCATCTCCAACTCGGGTCACAGCACTTACCAATTCGGAACTCTCGTTATTTGGGATGAGCCTCACTGTCGTTTGGCCTCATTTCTTGTTCATCCGAAAATTGTTTTCCTTCTTTGTAGTCTTGGGGTTTTGGTCATCCTTATAAGAACTCGAAATTTGGTGCTTTTTTCTTTGAATTTGATTGGAATTTGGTTATAGTATCCCTCTAGAATAGAGTTTTCTAAAATGCGCCTTAGCTAAAGGTATCGTAATCCTAGTCTTTTTGGTGAATCCCTCATTTTAGAATTGTTTCTTAGCTGATAAAGGCCACCAAGCTCACTTGATTAAAATGAAAAAGACTCTTAGAGTACTGTAGCGTACTGTAGCCATCTTTCTTTCATCTTTCAGGAAACGCTTTAGCCACTTTGCCCATCATCTAAACTCCATCCACTTCTACCAAAGTTTAATTTTGAAACGTTCATCTTTTTGACTATTCAATTAACTCAATATTAACTCACTTTGCTTATTGACACCTATCTTCGAATATCGGATGCGAAATATTCTCACATCTGGCGCTTTCGATAGGCCCAAGATGGGAAGAGACAACTCCGGAAATGGTGGCTGGGGTGAGCGCCTGCTAATCCCGGGACACATTTCTCCAATCTCACCATATGAGCCTATCTCTTTACACTTTCTGGCTCGCCAATTTTTGCTAAATTTGCCAAATTTGTCAAATTTGTCAAATTTTTGGCTTGAAATTTACTGTAAAGTTTAGTCTTTGTATCTCATTGTATTTCAGAAACTGTCATTTGAGAAGGGTGTAAAATAGCCGGTTACTATAAAGTATTTGGTAGCTATACTTGAAAAACAGTTCCCATAAAAGAAATGACCCACGATGAAACTCCCTAAAGACCCAAAAGTGACACCTGCCAATAAAGGTAAACCGACCCCCTCCCCCTCCCCCCTTTGAGTGCAAACAACACCAACTTCCTTTCACAAATTAACTCTTTCAATATCTAATTCCTTCGATCTAAATTATCCGCATAATCACTGATTTCAGAAGCCAATCAAGCCCGCCAGCACAAATTTCCACTTTTTTTTACAGTGATGCGCCCTCTTGTGCTCATTTTCCTTTTATTCATGAGCACTTCAGCTATTTATATCAAAAGTGATACGTCAACAATGCCTTCAAGTAAGCGAACAAGACTTACAAATTGAATATCAAGATTTTGCATGCTACGTAAATTGGTTTCCCCGAGATCATCAAAGTAACTTTAGTGCTTCTTGAGTCTTGGGCTCAAGCTCTTCGCCCGTCTCCATCACGAGAACCCACCCCACCAACCACAAAGCATCGGTCACCACAAATTGCTCCCGTATTTTGAATAAATTTATTGGCATTTATTCCAAATCAACAACGTTTCAACAATGCAAGAAAAACAACACCTCAAATGGTCAGAACGTCTTTGACAGCTTCTCGTAAGACGCAAACCAGCGAATCGAAATCTTTCAAACTCGGTGTTGATAATTCGACATTCTAAAGAAAAACGTTGAATTAAATTTGAAACGATTGACCTCTTTAGCACTGGTGTGTCTCAAAACAAAAGCTCCAAGCTCGTTCGCGGCAATCATAAACGCTCCCGAATTTCTTTCCTTTTCCACTCGACGAGAACGAAGAGCACCTGCATATTCCGACAAGAGCATGCTGAACAAACGTTTGCAACTTAAACAAATCTTATAAACAACCTGTACTGTACGTAGCAAGTCTCCTCTTTAGCTTTAGCCGCATTCTCTGATATTTCTTTGATGAAGTCAAGAAGCGGCTTCTGAAATAATATATACTATTGGATTATCAATTTGCTGAACATTACCAATACATTGGAAGACGTTGTCATCTCTCGTACAACATTTCTCCGACTACTCCATAGCGTTAATTGACATTCAAGGGCATCACTAAGAGCGCTGTTTCCATAAGCACCAAGTAAGATGATCTAAATATAATTTAATTTTCAAACGACTTTCCATCAAACCTTTGAGAATCCAATATGCCCAACGGAAAACTCCTCGTACTTTGTTAACAGCTCTTCGTAACTAAAAAAATTTGAAAACTCCAAAATAAAATAAGTCATACAATGGCATGAAAGCGTCAAGGCCCGCCACGGGTCGTTCAAGTCGAAGAATTAGTTGCCCTTTTCGCGATTGAGGCAACAAAAATTGCTCCAAGAGCATCGATGTGCACTCTTCAATAATCGTATCGGTAAACAATTCTGGGCCTAAACTTAAATTTTGAGTGAAAATGTTTTACTACCAACCCAAAATATAAAGTTCTGCCAGTCGTACATAAAAATCGCTGGGGTCAACCATTGTATAGAATAGTGTCGGTCTTTCTGCAAAAAGTAACGCCGTCCACATTAGCGTTAAACGAACGATGTCGAGATCATCTGTGGTAGAAGACCTGAATTATCGAACTCAAACTAAAACACGTACTGAACCAGACCTTTCCGATTTCTGCATTGCATCCAAAACGCTTCGGATCGGTCGCAACATCCATGAGCCATCCACTACCGGATTTAGTCCATTTGCAAACCGCTGGACCTGCTTTCCACCAACGTTACTGAACCGTTACGCATTAAGAATAAAATAAAATTTTACATTTCTTCAAGGTAGAGTTTCTTAATCTCGTCAATTTTACTTCTCGCTAACTCGAGTGTCGAATTTGGTGCTTCGGTTCTAAATGGTATTTTTTGAAGTAATGCAATTAAAGAAAACCTGGTAGAGGCTTTCAATAGATCAAATAGACGAGTGGCTTGGTGTTCTTGTCTTGGAATCACTCTTCGAGCGCATTTCGTCAATAAGTCGAGTTGAACTGCATCCTAAAACAAGCAGATTTTTAAAACGCTAGATGCTAAAAAAACTTACGGCAGCTAATCTGTCGTACTTTTCTTCTGCTTTCCAATCTGCAAACTCCTCCAACACTTCTAATTGTCTGATAGCTTCGGTAGATATAGAAGTTTGCGGCTAAACTATTTTTTTAATAGTAGCTAAGATTATTCTACTTCATTTTTTTCCTCCGCCAATCCCTGTTCGCGTAGCAGCTTCGCTTGTTTATATTGGGAAACTAAAAAATTTAAGTATTCATTCAATAAATAGTTCAACTACCTTGAGGCTTTGCTAGAGCCTCAGATGAAGGTTTAGCGTTTTTTGACTTATGCCGGTTCTTCAAGAATTCCAACAACTTCGGATCTAAAAAGCTGTCGTTTATTTGATAAAATTAATTATTTTAACGCTACAGACTAACTACTTACCAAGCTTTTCTTCAATTTCTTTGCGTGCTGCTACAAGTTCATCATTTTTCATCGCAGCCAGCCGTTTCACGTTTTCCTCTTCAAAATCATTTTGCGTCTCACTTGCTAACGCCGTAATTGAATCTTCCTCGATGGGGTCATGTCTCGCATCTAAAATAGTGCATACAGTCTTAACTGAATACCAAATCAAAGTTTTGGTAAATTTGTCCCTACCTTCAATGTGGCCATTAAGGCGGTCGAACTCAGTTGCAAAATAACTTTTCCCAGCATCGGCTTGTCTTTTCGCACTGCCAACTTTGTAGTAAGATGAGAGATCAATAGCCTGTTAAAAACAATAAAATTTAATACAGTTGACTCTCGATTTAACGATTCGCTCGGGACCAAAAATTTCGATTTAACGATTCTAAAACGCGCCCAAATTTTTTGCGTAGCTGCCTTGAAAGGCCAACGATTGCGTTTTTGCTGGGCAGCTGCGCAAAAAGCAAGGGCGTGTTTTAGAATTTCAAAATCGTTGTATCGAGAGTTGACTTTAACAAAGTACAAACTAACCTCTGGAAAACCGTCATCTTCTGAGTAGCTTTTCAGGGTTGATGCTGGCAGTTTGCTTGTTGTCGGTTGAAGATCAAGTAGATCAGTGTTGCGCTCCTAAATGATTCTGTTTAATAAAACCCCCATGAGCTCCCACTTCGACGTCAAAAAAGAACTTGATAGCTTTCAAGTTCGGGTAAAGTGTCTAAATCCAACGTGAATCGTCCGGCCAAGTTGGGTCGCTTTGAACCTTCCCGTTGATTTTTAACGGCATTCAAAGACGGCTATGATATAAACTGAAGTGTTTAAAAGCTAAAAATACTTTTTGATCTGGGCCTCCAACTACCGTTGCTTTTTTGATTGGGCGCTTGATTTTGACGGAACACTAAATCCCAGATAAGTTTTACAATAAATTCGTAGTAGACCTGACTATCGCCCTGCTGAAATTCCGCTTCAAGCCTTTTAAGATCATCTTCGGTTTCTCCAGGTTTGGGTCGTGCTATCATCTTTAATCTTTAAAAAAGTATGTTCTTCTAGTTTCAAGTTGAGCGATTTAAAGTATTGCAATGCAAACAGTACATATTTATAAAAAACGAAAACAAATTATAACAACATTTATTGAACAAATTATTTAAAGCCTTTCTTGGCAAGTCTGCATCGGCTCGTTGGAGTCCTAAATAAAGTAGCTTATTTGAAATTCATTAATCTCTACTTTGGAGTGATTTGCAAGTCATGAAAATGGAAGTTGAGAATTGTAGCGGAGCCGCGTAGTGATTTGCGTCTTCTATCATTCGTCTTCTGTCTGAAGGTGCTCATGATTCTTGCTCTAAAAAGCACGTAAACTATTTGAAAGCAATAAACTGCTCACCGAATGTTTTCCGAACGAGGCGAATGTTTTTTCTCCTCAAACAACGTCGGCGACATTACTGGCGTCTTGAACGAGCTTTCATCAAACACCAGCCTAAAATTGGAAATTTTTGGAAATTTGAAAAAAGTTAGACACAAACCGATTTTTTGGAGTCATAGAACGACGTGGATCACAACCATCATCCATTGAACTTGACGTCGATGCAAAAGAAGCAGCCCTCAACCGAAGCCGAGCTAAACAACGCAAAATTAACAAATAAAAGAAAAGGAAACTCACGAGGTTTCTCTCTCAGACCGCTGAGTTTCACTTTTGGTGATTTCGACATTGGAGAAGTTACGCAGAACGATGATGTGGCTTGCCGGATTTGTTGCAGTTCTTTTTGCGCAGTGCTTCTTGTTGTCGGTTTCGACGCTCTTGTGCCTGCCTTGAGCTTCATAGTGACTTGAACCGGGCCCGCCTTGCAGTTCTTGCGTCCACCCTTCGAAACTTTGCCCATTTATTAACTGAAATAGTGTTATTAGTGCAAAAACGAGTAAAACAAAGTAAACTTTAGTAAATATAAAATTCTGTGAAGCGAGAAAATAATGATTTTTAGAGTTTTTCAGGTTTATATAATTTTTTGAAAATATTTTCCATCGATAATGAATATTCAGTTAAAAAGCTAATCAGTTATTTTCATTCAGTTAGTATAAATTAACTTTTTAAATCGCTCACCTTCATTTTACGTGTTTTCTTTTCGACCCATTTTTCTCTGTAGAAACCATGAAATTTTTATTAGAGTTCTTTTCAAAAGCGGGTTTTGTTGTTTCAAAATTCAAACCCATGCCAGTACACACTAAAACGCGAATTACGCCGTGATGTAGCGCTTTCTCATCGAACAAAGTTCTCTCGAAAGATTTTCTTGCACTGTTTTTTGTTTGCTTTATCATTCGTCAATCACGCCACATTTTTAGGCGTTATCGTGCTGGAAATCGATCTGAGAGGGACAAGTGCGGCAGTGTCGCATTTAGACGCCAGAAGAGTTATTCGAAACGTTGCTAATGGTGAAAACGGAGCAAGTCCAGGTCCACAGGTTCGACCACAACAACACTGAAGTCATAAAGGTGGGCCTTTTTCATAAGTTAAACCTCTTGTTTCTCTACTCTGCGCGTTGGCTTGTTTGTGGAAAAGATTGGTACTTTGTAGTTTATCTTCTGTGACTCATTGAGCAGATGTCAAAATTTGGTTCGTAAAGTTTAATTAAGTAAATAATTGTTTCAATAAAGTTTCAAATTAAGCATTGAGTTGAAGTTATCAAATTTGATGTTCCACTTTAATTTAACTTTTTATTTAAATCAATAAAAGGTTAGACATTGTGTTAATTTAAAGCTGCTTCCTTAGATGCCTATCGCGAAGGGGTGCACGTAAACTAAGTGTGGTTATATTTTTTTGGGCGATTAAAATCATAAGTTAAATCGTTTTTTAGACTGGTCCGATTGCTAACATCTATCTGCAATACTTGCTTCTGTCCGGGCTTTATATGCTCGAGCCTTGGGAGCGAAGTCTCTTCAACGCAAGTCTAGTGGCCTTCGTCGGATTTTGGGCATATCTTCTCGTTCATCTCTTTTTCTAAGGTGAGATTATATTTATTTTAAAGTTTTAATAAATTTTAAGTGAAAAATGAGATTAATTACTAAAAATTTAGCACAAATGTCTGTCGATCCAAATGAAGCCCCTTCATCTTCCAAAGTTTCTGTGTTATTAAATCCCGTTGGCGATGCTCCAATCTTGAAAAAAAGAAAGTAAGGTATTTTATTTTATTTGCAATAAAAATTGTTTTAGATACTCTGTTTATTTTTTCGTTTGCAATTAAAAATTTTTAGATACGCTGTTGATCCTTCCCGTGATATCGCTTGGTTTACGATGACAATTCGTCGAATGCTCAATTTGCCACCAGAAAAGAGCTTGTTCTTTTTTGTCGCGCAGAGCTTCGCCCCATCTCCCGATCACACTTTTGAAGTATTACGCAACTGTTTTTCGCTGCAAGATGACACACTCGTCCTTCACTATAGTACTACTCTTGCCTGGGGTTAATTTTTCCAATTCTTCATTTACCTACTTATTTCCACGATAATAGATTTGATTCAGAATTTGAAGGTTGTTGTTTTATCATTGATTTTTTTTGTCACAATGGTCTGCATTTGCAACTAAACTTGTACTGATTATTTGAATGCTAATAAATGGATTTTTGAAGCATAAAATACGTCAAGGGCTGTACCAAGAAATTTCTGTTATCGGACTTTTGAAAAGCATGGAAGAAATGCGAAATCACGCCCATATGTTGTAGGAAAATGATGGGGCTGGTTGATTACGACAGTGAGTCGGGAAGCGACGAGGAATCGAAAACTTTGCAACCACAGCGTAAAAAGTTGCTTGAAATAGAAAACAAAACAATTTATTTGCTAATTTTAGTATTTCCGCAGCAGAAGACGGAGATTTCTTTTCTACCAAAAGCGATAATGATGGAGGTAACTGCTTTTTCAAATGTTCAAATCAATCGGACGTTTTTAGATAACGAATGCACAACAAACCCAGCACCACTATTTGACGAAGATGAGAAGGATCTCGATGATGTGGTGAAGCCAAAAGCTTGGGAGAAAGCTTTAGCGGAAAAGGTCATTGGAATTAAGAGTCATTTATTCTAAAGTTTATTTTAGACAAGAAGAAAACTCGAAAAGAAGGCTGAGAAAAAGAAGAGAAAAGATGCAAAAGCATCATTAAAAGAAGCGCAGAAATCAGAAACATCTATTGTTAGAGAAGCCGAACCAAAAACCAAGAAGCGACCCCAGGTACGTTTATCATTCGTTGAAAAAGACTTATAGCTTTATTTAGATTGCTTTATTTGGTGCACTGAACATGGCAGCAGATCCGGGAAGTGATAGTGAGGAAGAGGAAACAAAACCGGGAGTATGTTTTTGTTTTTGGCAACATTGTATAATTTGATAATTTCAGCCATCTGGGCTTGCTCAACCCGGTGCAAAAGGATTACTTGGAATGTTACCTCCTCCATCGAAAATGGCAGCCACAAAACCAGGTTCAGGAAAGCAAGGAATCATGTTACCAGCTTCACTACGAACTACTGCAGCAAAGAAACCCACACCTGCGCCAGCTGTTACGGCAACAACAACAATCAAGAAGGTTAGGCTAACACACATCTTTACTTACCTAATTTTGTAGAAACCTCTCATTGATGATCAAGATTCCGATTCTGATGATGAAGCTGGCGATTTCTTTGGTCTTACTTCAAGTGCGCCGAGTGCTAAGGTAAAAGCTTTAAAACATTGAATTAAACTTTATTTACTTAAAATTTATATTATTCATTTTAGATGGCAAGATTGGAGGACCAATCCGAAATTCCTATGATGCCCAGTGGAGGACTTGAGGAGGTTGTTGGACCAATGCGGCCGGCGGCAAATGTTTGTAACATTGATTCTTTTATCAAAAATTTCGTTTTAGGAATACGTTCATCCGTCGGAAATGTACAATATGGCTAATTTCGAGATGGAGGCAAAGCGCAAAGGAATCATTACTGACCAGGTCAGTTTGCTAGTTTGCTAGAGCCATAGCACAGATGAAAAAGAAATTTGACATTTAAAAATTCTTTGTCTCAAGTAAACTTTATCTTTTAAATTTCAAATCATTTCAGGAAGCTCATCGTTTGATTCTTCAGAGGGAAAGCGATTTTGGAATGGGAGTTTCAGACATTGTGAGCAATATCCAGGATTTCTCAGTGGAACAGGTAAGCCCCTGTTTTTTTAAACAAAAAGGGTTTTAATTTTAGGCACTCGGCCCGAATGTTCATGCGCAACTCTTGCGTAACATCACGAAGCAACAACACGCAAAATCGACCGCCATCCCGTTGCCTAAAGTTGCAGGTGTGCGCGATATCAACGCAAAGAGGAAGAATCAAATTACGTATCTTGCACAAATGGTAAGTTAATTTTGAGCATGCAGTTTTTAGCAAACTGAATTGATCCGTATAACAAATATTTAAATTAAAACAAAAACTTTAGGCTGTTGCCAGAGAAGAAGCTTTACAAGATGCAAGAGCAGACTCGAAGCACACCAAGAGAATGGCCAGGCAAAAATACGGCTTCTGAAGATTTTTTCACCGTTTGTTCTCTTTTTAAAATTTTAATGCGATTTTTACGAGAAATTCTTTTTTTGATAAATGTGTATTTTTCATGTCGGATAAATGTGTATTTTTCAGGATAACCAAAAGTTTATCGAAAACTTAACAACTAAAATACCCATGTACACAGATCACATCTTATAATTACACAAGAATTCAAACCATCAGTTCGAAACATCGTCTGGGACGAGAGATAATTGTTCTTCCGTTGAAATTGGTTGATCGTCTTTCCTTTCACGAAGAGCAACACTGCGTCGAGTCAAACCAAAGAATGATTTTGGTTCATATCTAAAAGTGAATCATGAAACAAAAGCAATAAAACAACTAACTTTTTCGATGTATACTCCCATCCGAGATGGTCGAGACACATTGTGCACTCAATGATCTGCCATTTATATCTAAAACAAGACATCAATGTAGCATACACTAGCAAATTTACCCTTCGAACCAAGAAAATGAGGCGTCTGGTGGGCCACGGAAAGCATAATGTTGCGCTTCGGTGGCGGTGATGATTTCATGAACAAAACCATCTAAACATATATTTAAAAACAACTCAAATATCGCTAACAATTGTTCACAAAGTGTCGACTGTTTCCTTCAGCGGTCACCGAGAAAATGTCTTCGGCTCGAGCAATGGTTGTGTGGCACCGTACACAGGCAATGTCCATTTTCTAAATTAACCTTTACAAAATTTAGTTGCCTAAAAAATGACCTTGAAAAGCTTTTCAACCATCATGTCGATTCGGCGGTCTACAGAATTTTCCTGTAATAGAGCCAACTTGGTGTCAATCTCAACGGGGATATTGGCGGCAAGGAAAAATGAAAGTTCTGTCAGACCCTAAATCAATGGGAAATTTGCTAGGAAAAAGTTGCACAAAGCAACCTTGTTGTAAGTTTCTTCAAGTTTGACTTTTGTTTCGGGCGACGGCGACCAGCTACACATGAAATTTAGTAGAGTTCGAGCCTTTTTTTCCTAAAAACGATTTTGTTTTAAACAAAGCTAAATACAGCTTACCGTTGAAAATCTCGAGATAACCCATCGTGGAATATTATACAATTTCTCAGCAATTTTTCGTTGCTAAAACAAAAGATGTAACCTCATTAACCTCGAACTACTTACCTGAACTTTTACTTGAGATCGTGCTTTATTTGGTACTAAGGAAAACTGAAGTGGAGGCAAGAGATTTTCTGCCAGTATTTGCACACGGGCTGATAGAGAGCTAAATTAAACTTTAGAATTGTCAGCATTAAAATAAACCTATCGATATTCCGAATCGTTTCCAAAAGCTTAATACGATTGCGACCGATTGCGTAAACACGAAAGCCTCGTTGACCGCCATCACACGAGCGTGCTATCTAAATTTGGCATCAATAGATAACATCAGTAATTGTGAACAAATTAATATAACAAAAAGCCTTTCTAGCAAAACCTGCTAAATTCTGTAGTTTTGTGTGGAATAAATAACCTGCAAAAGCACACCAACGTCGATCGGCGTGGACACTCTCGGGTCATACCCACTGGATTTGGATTCACTATCAAGATTCAATTTCAAAGACAAACAAAGTTTCTCCGGGGAAAGCAGCCAGATAGGAATGATGAGCGACGGCAAATTTAGCAGTGGCCATGTCATTCGGATGATAAAGCAACAACGGGATGCGTTGATCTGAAAAAGCAGATGTTAAGTAAATCTACTCGTTACTCGGCTTTCGATTTTTTGAACTGCATCCAAACTTACTTGGCATCGGAAAGCAATCTTGGCTGATCCGCAACATTGGCAATTCCATTATCATTTCAGCAACAATCGTCTCGGAAGGCATCGCGAGATCAAGGACCTTAAGGAAATCAGCTTTTGGTAAGATTATATTTTACCCCCGCTCACAATAAATTTTCGAAAACCACTTTTCTGGGGGTTTTCGAATATGCTGTTCGAAAATTGCTTCTAATTCCACAAAAGTTAACCAATTTGGATACCCACTTCACCAACTTGACCTTCTCGGCGACGAGTTCGACGTGTAAACAAATACTCATGGTTTATGGCATCCTAAAAACAAAGCTTTGATCAAACATGACTCATTTGAAACGTTTTCTTGAAATAAGCTCACCTTAACATTTATGTGTTGCGGTTCATGTTCCGAGCTTTCTCCATCTGAACTAGATGACGAGCTTGAAGACTCTAGAAAAAATATATCTTTGTCTATTAAAAGAATTCTTTACCTCGACCAACCAAAGCTCCACGACCTCGATCGGCGAATCGTTCTCGCAGGTGAGCTGCCTAAAATGATAAAATTGATAAATACGTGAATTTATTTTATATCAACTAAAGCAAATTTGTAAAGCTCACAACGTTTACACGTGCTCGGTGAACCGCAATGGCGGGCGGTAAAATCGGAATAGCCTCGGGCTCATTCCCAAGCTGGAAACCATTCCTAAAAAGAAAAATGAAATACTTTTTTTACAATATAAACGACCCAAAACGGCTTGCTAAACCGTTTAACCAAGTATATAAAGGCCAATTTCTTAGCGCTTTTTCGCAGAGCTCAAATGTAAGAGTTCCTAGTATCAAAAAAACATTGGCAAGTCTATTTTTAACGCAAAAACCTTACTCTATTGCCTCATCATCTTCTCGCTCGTTTTCCGTTTCTTCTGGTGATGCATCATCATTGTCATCTTGATTGATCCATTCACCCTCACTGTCGCTTTGTTCAGCCATTTGTGTTCACTTCTAAACATAGCCCATCGATTTTGAGGAAAATTTGCGAAAGACCACGGTAAACAAGTGCAATAAACAAAAAAGAGTACACACGCCGGCATTTAACGACTTTAGAGGCCGGTCTTTTGAAATTTTGCAAGTCAAAAACGCAAAAATCATGTCAATCATTATATAAACATTTGTAACAAGGAAAAAGATATTCAGCTAAAAAGCACTGTACTTTGTTGCTGTCAACATATTTAAGAATAAATATAGATTTTAAGTTACACAATTTACAAAAAGTGTCGTTTTGGGGGTGGGACAAATGCGACCTTTTTTTGCTGGAAAAGGCCTTAGGAAAGGTCGTAGAGCTTCAAAAATGTTTTCATAGAAGGGAATCGAATCGTATGCGTAGATTCCGAATTTCGACAAAACAGACCTCGCTGGCAGGTCAAATTTGGGCTAAAAGGCAAAAACTGCGGAAAAGCGTTAAGTTGCGTATTTGTCGTATAAAAGGTCGCATTTGTCCCACCCCCGTCGTTTTAAACGAAAAACAAATACCTAATCTTTTGCTTTTCTCTGAATATCAATAAATATTTATTATCAATTGCACAAATTTACAAAAACTTAAAAAAAATTCAAGCGAATGGACTATCAGAAGTGTGTAAAAGTATAGATTTTTTTTTAAATTTTAAAATCGGGCCCATTTTTTTGTTCATCCGGGGGCCTATGGCAATGGGGGTGCACTGAGATAAATTTTACGGGGAAAAAAAAACGAAAAATTTCAGTGGTAAAGCATAAAGTCGAAGAAAAAGTAAGGCAAGTTGGCAGATAAATTTATTCGTTGTCAAAATTTCTTTCTGGACTTCAATGACGTGGATTGAAAATCCGTAGAATGAGGAAAAGATGTGAAGAATTGAATTGAAAAGAATTGAAACAGGGTCGCAAAAGTGAGAGACAATGATTTAAACTACTAGGCTATCTGTGTTTATTCAATTATAAAGGTCCAATGGGGAAAGGCGATCCCGGGATTTCTCGATCGCCGTACTTGACGAAGATGAAGCCACGCACACTGTCGTGAATCTTGTAGTTGACCTGGAAGGTACAGTAAAATACGCTTCAACTTAAGAAACTAAGAGATACGCAGGACTACTGTAAGCTTACTGTAAGCTTACTGTAAGCTTACTGTAATTAGAATCTGGTAGAGTACTGTAATATTTAGGAATAGGCTTGTAAACAAGTAAAGATATTAAAGAACAAGTAAAGTAAAGATAACAAGTAAAGATTACTGAAGTATCCAAACTAAGATACCCAGTAGAATTTTCAGCTTACTGTAGCTCTTGCTGTAGTTCAATTTGACTATTACAGTACTCCAACTGGCCATTACAGTACCCTCTAGATTACAGTAGTCTTGATCGACTGCAGTACTATATTGGACCATTACAGTACTCCCTGCTATTCTATTCTTTTATCAACTCACCACATAATGCCCAGCTCCCATGTGTTTGACGACCACCTCCTCGCATGGTCCCTTTGATGTCACAACACCGACCATCAGCAGATTTGTCCCTGAAATTAGTTTTAGAAAGAGATCACAGACAGCTACAGTATGCCCTACAATACTCTATTCTTTGTTTAAGCCCTTCAACTTACCAGCCAGCCCCGTATCAATGTTGAACGACGAGGCGACCCCTGGGGTGAACTTGTTCAGCCCGGTGCCCTTAGCCACAACCTGAACCATATTTTCAGAGATTACTGTAGGATATTCACCTTATCAGCATCTCCTGAATACTGAATTCCTCCATTGATCGCTTCTCCATTGACTCGATGTTCCGAGTGACGATAAGAGGAAAGACCATGTCGATGACCCTCTCCAGATGGAACCATGAATACCTGAAGTTTAGCATTAAAGCATGTGACTTCTTTTGGTATATTGTAGTCTATACTGTAGCATTAAATCCTGTAGAACCCTCACTTTGAAAGGCGATTCAGCAATGTGCTCATCGTTGAACTTGACCGCGACAGAGTACTCGCCTGGCTCGGCCACCGTGTACTCGGCATGACAATTCCCGTCCTGAAACATCTTCTTCACATTTGAAAGAGCAAACTTTTTGTCTTTAGCCTCAAATCCTTTACCTTATGATCACTGAAGTGCATCTTTGCCTTTGCTGGCCCTTCAACACTCACAGACAACTTGCCAGCGCCAGCCTCTCTTGTATAGATATTGAAAGCATTTGGCACTCCAACTTCTCCTCTCACCACTCCCATTCCAGAGGCTTTCACCTAACAGTTATTCATTATACAAATCTCTTTATACAAATCATTTAGAATCAAGTCTGTCTTGACAAGTAGCTTAGTTTAAGTACGGTAGGATATAGTACGTAGCCTGGCGCAATTGTTTACGAGAGTACTGTATGATTCTAAACACTCTAAAAATAAACACTGACCCTTTTACTTTTACTCTAGCTTCTACCGTACCTTGTGCGCTCCACCATCAGCCAAATGTCCAACAGTAAAGTTGAAGGGTGACCCATTGACGTGTTGATCTCGATGGAAAACGGACAAGGTGTGCACTCCTTCGTCATTTGGGGTGAAATGAAGAGCATAATATTGATCACCGGTATCGTGAATTGAGACAGGCACCTCTTCACCGTGTGGATTCACCAAGCGAGCACTCTGCGATATGTTAATCTCAGGTTTTGACTGAATATCTTTTAAGCTTACCATATCGTTCTCAACGGTGTGCGACAGTTTGAGGTAAATGTTCGCCTCACGACCCACAGCAGCAATCGATGGCTGAACAAGGGATAAGACTTTAAAGCTTGGCCCAGTTACCGTAACCGAATCTTTTCATAAAAAGGTAGTCAGGTCAAGCTTTAACGTCTTAAATTGTTTTTTTTTTACCTTTGTTGTTTCTCTCTCGATTTCCGTAGCCGTTTGACTTACTCGATCAGTGCAAACAACAGAAAGTGGGCTTTCTGGAAATGAGATTTGTTTATTTCTTTTAGAGTTAAAGAAATTACAATAAGATAAAAATGATATTCAGCTTATGGTAAGATTTTTGATCTAGATATTTAGCTAATTAGATAGAATACTTTTCTAGTGTACTAAGCAAGAGACTTACAGTAGATTTAAAATCTAAAGTTACCTTTAACGTGTTGCTCAGCGAATTTGATATTCACTGTGTATTTTCCAGCTTCGGTCGGTCGATAGTGGACAGCGATTAGACCCGGTTTAACCTCTTTGCATTTCAGCTCGGCTTTCGATGGACCCTGCACTGAGACGGAGAGACCACCATAACCTGAAAGACTTTAGATTTCACAAAAATCATTCATCACTCTGGATCACTACAACAGTTTCCAATCAACTCACCAGCTTTACTCGTGTCCACGAGGATCTCGTTGTCTTGATTGGTGACCGCATTGTGTTTTCCCTCACCTCTCACCTCCACCTTAGCCGCATCACCGATTTGGCTTTTATCCACCTGAAAAGATTTCCATAAATTGTGAGAGCTAAGAATCTATAAGCTGAATCTAAAATTCTGAATCCACACTTTAATCTTGAAGGGTCCTTTCGGTATTGGTTTCCCGTCGCGGAACACTTTGATGAGATGCTCACCGGCTTCACGGGGAGTGAAAGAGACTCCTGAATTTAATAGGTAAGAATGAATTTCTTTCTTTCTTTCTTCTCTCTTTTTCTTGACAAGTTAAGGCACCATATTGGAACCATATTGGAACCATATTGGAACCGTATCCGAACTATATTGGAACCATATTGGAACCATATTGGAACCGTATCCGAACTACAGTGCCGCTCAAAGGTAATGACCACCGAATAGCTCAGTGATTAGAGCAATTGATCAAAATCAAAAGATCAAGGATTCAATCCTGGGAATCAACTTTATCTTGCCAATTCCTTTTTTACTATTAAAAGAATTTTCTACGCAAGAATGTATAAAGATTCTATGAATATCTCCAGATTAAACTTCAAATTTACCCAATCTTCCGCCCTCTAGCGCTCGCACAAAGCACGGTTCCACATGTCCCGATGGTGATTTAATCGTTGCCGTCACTCCGCTCAACTCTGACTCCGAAATGTTCAAAGCTATCTGAAAAAAAATATCGTGTAAACGATTCGAAATCCTCTCTTTTCTTTGTTAGTGAATTGAAATTTGATTTTTTGAAAAGACAAAATCTTCACGACACCCCATTTAAAAACAAACCTGGGGTAACGCAAATTCACCGGCTTTCTAAAAAGAGTTATAATTTTTGTAAAATCTAAAGAATTGACAACTAGTTGACAGTTGACAAGTTGTCTTTCTTTGAATTCTACCTCGGACGTGGATCCAAGTTGTAAATGAGCGTTTTTGTGGCCATCTTTTGCGTGTGCTTGCACGTGAAATGGAGAATCTTTCACATCTCGTCCACCCAACTTCACATGAACTTTATAGTCGCCAACAACTGGTGGAATCCATGAGACCGAACATGTGCCATCCTTAAATTACAAGTTTTACTTAAATTTAATCTACATAAAGTAAAATAGAAGATATTCACAGTACTTTATTATCGTGAATCTTGATATTCGCTTGAGCAGCTCCTTCGATGCTCACAGAGAGCTCTTTTGCATGTGATCCCTGAAAAGTACAGATATAACTACCGTAAATACTGTAATAGTACCCCACTGCCCTCGTACAGACGCGTAGTCGCAAAAGTTTTTCAGTATTTCATTTTTTCAAAGCGCTCGTACTTTCAAAATGCGTCTTTGGTATCAAAAAATAGCCCTGAATTTCAGCTATCTTTTGATACCTAAACGAACATTGTAGCATATACCAGTGTCGAGAAAACCGCGTTCAAAGCTAGACTACGCAACACTCCACACCGTCATTATCGGGGTGGGGTCCAATTACAGTATTTACGGTACGTATTCCTATGCATTTTCCTATGCACTAAAGCTTTTTTCATTTGTCAGTTTGATTGGCAATAGGTGTAGAACGGAAAATGAGCAACAGAAACTTTTTCAGACTAAAAGATAGAGCTTTTTTTTGATTGACCTTTGCTGAGACGGTGAACTGAGCCGACTCTCCAACAATCGCTTGTTGTAAACCGGGTCCATAAACGGTGGCATGTCCCGAATCGAAAGAGTCAACAAAGAATTTGATTGGAGTTCCCTAGAGCGAGAATGGAGACCATAAAAGCTTCGAGTTTGAAAAAGAATTACCTGCAAAATAGCTCCATCGTGCAGAATGGTTAACTCGTGTGGTCCCGGGGTTTTCGGAGCGTATTTGACGAGAACTGTGCCTGGAATTTGATCATTGATCATCTTGAAATCATTGCACAATCGATTATGAGCATTATGAATATGAATTTTAAGTACTAATTGTTGTTTAATGGTTTCTGTTTTACCGTCATGGTTGTCGATAATTTGAGCCTCGTCTCTCATTCCCATTGGTGTTGATACCTGGAATCGTCATTGGTTTATAGCCAATTATAGAGCTCAGAAACGCACCCTTTCTGGCACACTAAGCTCTTTATTGTTTTTCATAATAGGAAAGCAGAGAACTTGCGTTTCCATGAGTACAAAGTACCCACCTGAGCTTTCAAAAGATCGCTGTTGATTTGCGCTTTGTCGAAATTGAAGTTAAACTCGCGCTCTTTCAGCTCAGGTGATTGCTCAGATAAGCCGTAATATCTAAAAAGTTTAGTTATTTCAAATTTGAATCGAAAAGCCTCAACCAGTTGAAGCTATTCTCAACCAGTTGAGGCTATCCTCAACCAGTTGAAGCTATTCTCAACCAGTTGAAGCTATTCTCAACCAGTTGAAGCTATTCTCAACCAGTTGAGGCTATTCTCAACCAGTTGAGGCTATTTTAAAGCCTCAACCTTCTCTCGTTGGCCTCGATGGCGCTGTCTCTTCCCTGATTCGAAGTGGATGAGGCTCGTCTGATCGAAGCTAGCTAAAATCTAGGATTTAAAAACCCTTATAATAATATATTTAGATAGATTTGCATATAATTTAATATATAGATTAAATATATAGATTTATCTTCGTAAAATAGAAATTTGTTTTTGTCAAAACACTCAAAACCGACTTTTGAGGGTGATGGCGGGAGGTCACCGCGCAGCGCTCGTTGTTCGCTGAAAAACAGAAAAGTTAAACAGAAAAGTTATAAATATCAATAAATAATATAAATAACATATTTAAATAGATATATAAATCATATAGATATTTATTCTCGTGAATAAAGTCCCATTTTTCGTAATCGGAATCGAACCGTTGATCTCTGGAACGTTGACCAAAACAGCTAGCCATTCGGCCATCAAGTGCCGGTTTTGAAATGCAAACTGAGGAATTTATACGTAAATCTTTACTGGATGCAAATTTCCCTTTACTTTTTTGCGGTTACTTTAGCTTGGGCTTGAATATTGAATTTAAAAGTGTCAAACTTGACATTTTTTCTTTTGGACATTCCAATATTGATTTCTTTATTTTCTTTAGAGATTTTATAGATTACTGTAGAATATTTAGACATTTAAAGACAGTAGACATTTAAACTGCGCTCGGCACTATTCAACTAATCAATATTTGAAGATTAGAACTTTAAAATATCATTTACTTTCTTTCAAATACCTCAAAAACGAGTACTTTTCCGTGGAATCTTTTCCGAGGAATTCTTTAGAGATTTTATAGATTACTGTAGTATATTTGAACATTTGGACACTCGACACCATTCAACTAATCAATATTTCAATATTCGAACTTTAAAATATCATTTACTTTTCTTTCAAATACCTCAAAAACGAGTACTTTTCCGAGGAATCTTTAAAGAATTCTTCGGAAGAGATTTTATAGATTACTGTAGTATATTTGAACATTTGGACACTCGACACTAGTCAACTATTCAATATTTCAATATTAGAGCTTTAAAATATCATTTACTTTCTTTCAAATACCTCAAAAACGAGTACTTTTCCGAGGAATTCGACAAAAACGGCTCCCTTTTTTGAGCCTCTGTTTGAAGTTCGGATTGACGATCGAGCTTAAAATTAAAACCAATTTATATATTATTTATATTATTAAAGTCTATTTATGTAGTTTTATTCGAAATGACCTCAATCTGATCGATGTTTTCTTTGCCGGTTTGCGGTGAAATGACGGCACGACTCAATTGGGTAACCGCCTGAAAAAGGATATTCAGCTAAAAAAATACAATAAATATTCAATCTATTGAATATTTATTGTATATTCAATAGATTGAATAATAGTACAATAGTAAACTTAAAAAATTGTTTTTTTAAGCTAAAGAAACGGTTTTGAGCGATGTTTTATCAAAAAAATGCTTAAAAAACCAAAATTTCAACATTTGAATGTCCAATGTTAGAAAAAGTTAGAAAAAGTTTCAAAATTTTACAAAAAAAAACGATTAAAATGCACTTAATTCTAATTTGTCACTGTGTTGTCAATAAAAAGTGTCAAACAAAATGAAAAATCGGCGAAAGTTTTAGCGAAACCCGAGAGATCGACCTTGGTGAGAAAAAAAAGAGAAAATTTTGGGAGAGAGAATTGAAAATAACAAGCATAGATAGAAAAATGGCACTCTTTTTTTGAGTGCATTTAAAAAAAAATTGCTACAATTTCTCTTCGATTTGCACATTATAACGCAAAAAAAAAACGAAATTTGAGCATTTTCAATGAATAGCAATGGTTTGATGGTCTATAACTTCGTCTAGAGATTATAATGTTGTTAACTTTTTTATAGCATTTTATAGAGGAGATTTTAGGCTTTCAAATGACACCAAATACACTTTGATTGGAAAGTCGAGTCCAGGAAAATGAAGCAATACGGCAGGTCGAAATCGGAAATCCGTTTCAACTCGGATGCTGTACTGCTTGGTTTTCACGAGAATCGATAAACCAAATCGATGCTTTATTTGATATTATTTGAAAGCCTGAAATGTCTTCTATACAATGATATAAAAAGTTAACAATAATATTATCTCTGGTTAAAGTTCTAGACCATCAAACCATTGCTATTCATTCAAAATGCTCGGATTTCGATCAAGAGCCGTTTTAGTACTAGTTTAGTACTAGTTTAGCACTAGTTTAGTACTAGTTTAGTACTAGTTTAGTACTAGTTTAGTACTAGTTTAGTACTAGTTTTAGTACAAGTACTTCTTTGCAGTATTAAATATAGTTGAAGGTTGTTTTTTAAAGTTGAAGGTTGTTCTTAAAGTTTTTTAAAAAGTTGTTATAGAAAGTTAGATACAAAAACGATCATTAGCTTTTTTGGAGAATGGAAAAGTAGAAAGATAAATATTTGAAAGCAATTTGAAAGCAACTAAGTAGGAAAAAGGAAAAGAGAATAGAAATGGAAATGGAAAAGATCGAAATCTGAGCGCATTCGATTCAGATAGAGATTTGATTGTTTTATCGATTCTTATGAAAACCAGCATTGAATCGAATTGGTCATTTTAAGCTGATCATTAGCTCTGATTTTAAGCTGATCCTGATTTTAAGCTCCACTCCTTTTTTCAATCCATTTGCCATTGAAAATCTACGAATTTTCCTCGTATTTTAGTCGGGTTTTGTTTGTAAAAAAAGTTGAATTTGTTGAATTTGATAGAAAATTTGATTTTGAATCGAAATGTTTGTAAATTCAACATTTTACAAACAAAATACGGCTAAGATACGAGGAAAATTCGTAGATTTTCAATGGCAAATGGATTGAAGAAAGACAAATGGATTGAAGATTGTCAATGACAATGAATGACTGATTCGATTCAATGCTGGTTTTCATAAGAATCAATAAAACCAACAAATCTCTATTTGGTATTTGATATTTTTGAAAATGCAATGCATTTAGCTAGATTTTAAAACGATCATTAGCTTTTTTGGAGAATGGAAAAATAGAAAGATAAATATTTGAAAGCAATTTGAAAGCAACTAGGTAGGAAAAAGGAAAAGAGAATAGAAATGGAAATGGAGAAGAGAATAGACATGGAAATGGTAGGAAAAGAAATAGAAAAGAGAATAGAAATAGAAATAGAAAAGAGAATAGAAATGGAAATGTTTGACAAAAGAAGGGAGAAAAAGGGGGGAAGTTGGTCCAATGAAAAACGTCAATACTGCCTCTCTTTCAGCAGTCCTTTTGAGAAAAAGATTGAGAGATTTGTGGAGAGAAATGAGAAACGAAAAGAGAAATTAAAACATGCTTTCGTTGCTTTTAAAATCCTTTCGTTTCATCGATTTCATTTCAAATTCTTCTTGAAAACGGATAAAAAGAGAAAAAGAAATGGAAATAGAAAAGAGAATAGAGAATATTCTCTTTTCTATTGCCATAAAAAAGTAAACTTTGAAGTTTAAAATTCGAAACACAAATTTTCTAATGCATTTCATTTCATTAAATCCCTTCATTTCATTAAATCCCTTCATTTTCTCATTTAGAAAGAAATCTGAAAAATTCAGTGCACTAGGAAATGTGTGTTTTCAATTTTAAGCAGGAAAGTTTAGGACAACTTTAGAAAGCTAATAAATTTCTTTGTTCTTGGTAATTTTTAAATGAAAACCTTACCTCAAAAGTCACAGTTCCATCGGGCAACAAATCACCGCCATAAACGACATTCACACTCTGTTTCCCGGCTTCAAGTGCACGCAAACGAACGTGATCCTGAAAAATATATTGATAATTCGATTTTTATACAAATTCTACATAATATTTACTAATAAAAAGATAATATTGAGTTGGTGCATTGAAAACTGCGAGCTATTTCGCGGGACTAGCAGATAAAGAAAACAACAGCATTGAAAGGGGCGTTTTTTTAAAGATAATATTGGGCTGGTGCATTGAAAACTGCGGCCTATTGCGACTCGCAGATAAAGAAAACAACAGCATTGAAAGGGGCGTTTTTTAAAGATAATATTGGGCTGGTGTATTGAAAACTGCGGCCTATTGCGACTCGCAGATAAAGAAAACAACAACATAGAAAGTTTTTTTCTTTACTTCAACATTTCCTCTAATTATTGCGAAAAAATTATCCTTCCAGCTTTTTATTTTTCGATATTTTTCTTCACTTCTTCTATTGCACTCGACAATCTGCCACCGAGACATATTCGTCATGTACTTCATGACGTACTTCATGAGTTCATGAGTTCTTGAGTTTGAGTGAACTTGAGTTTGAACTTTGAGTTCTTCATGAGTTCCTACAAGAGCACAGTGCAGGCTTGGCAGCTGCTAATATTAAAAAGATATATGGGACTCACCTTCCGAAAGAACGTGTCAAGTATGGTTTGCCAAGTTTCGTGGATTGGGAATACATCTTTGAAAGATGCAAAGAGCTGTGGAGCGGCACCCCAACTGGATGACTCCAAATTACTCGAACTCATTACCAACGACCATCGGGTGTCATCGCGTGAATTGGGAGAAGAGTTAGGGGCTGATCATGCTATAGTGCTAAAGCATCTTCATACCATTGGATTTAAATCGAAACTTGGGGCTTGGGTGCCCCATGACCTCACTGACCCCCAGAAGTGGCAGTGCACCTCGATCAGTGCCACCCATCTCTCACAATACAAAAGGAAATCTTTTCTTCCTTGAATTGTGATAGGAGATGAGAAATGGGTTTTATCTGTGAACTTTCGGAGGAAGTGGCAATGGGTGGGGCCAGGCGAGAAACTGGAAAGTGACCCTAAGCCTGATTTGCACCAGAAGAAGTTTATGCTCTGCGTTTTCTGGGATATGGAGGGAGTCGTGTAATGGGAGTTGCTGGATAGTTGCTGGGAGTTGCTGGATAGCAAGACGACCCTTAATGCAATCAAATACAGTGAACAGTTGGGAAAGGTGAATGAATCCCTGAAGAAGAATAGGCCCTCCAAGTCAAAGATCGTTCTCATCCACGACAACGCGCGCCCTCATGTTGCAAAACTGACTCGCTCTAAAATAAATAGCCTTGTTTGGGAACTTTTGGCGCATTCCCCATACAGTCCAAAGAAGAAGTTTATGCTCTGCGTTTTCTGGGATATGGAGGGAGTGGTGTAATGGGAGTTGCTGGGAGTTGCTGGGAGTTGCTGGGAGTTGCTGGGAGTTGCTGGGAGTTGCTGGATAGTTGCTGGATAGTTGCTGGGAGTTGCTGGGAGTTGCTGGGAGTTGCTGGGAGTTGCTGGATAGTTGCTGGGAGTTGCTGGATAGTTGCTGGGAGTTGCTGGATAGTTGCTGGGAGTTGCTGGGAGTTGCTGGGAGTTGCTGGATAGTTGCTGGATAGTTGCCGGGAGTTGCTGGATAGCAAGACGACGGCAGAAGTCGTCAATAATAATGGAAATTATTTGGAATGAATTGATGGTTTTATGTTGTATAAATTTTAGTTCAAAGTCCCGCAATTTTCAATGCACCAACCCAATAGTAGGATTTATTTTCGACCTGAATTTTCCCGTCAACTCTCTTTTGAATGATCTCGGCCATAAGCGCTTCTGGATGAGATTTGAGAAGTGAGAGATGAGCCTCAAGCTCGTCTTCATCTCGCTCGATTATTAGGAACTTATCCTCACCCAACAACCATTCATCATCAATTGGACGGACTATAATAAGTAATGTTTAGTACAGTTACTGAATTATTGAATTTTCCAGCTTCACTAATCCTTGAAAGCTTTCTAGAACTTTCTAGAACTAGTAATTTTCGTTTTAGTTTGTCTACTGTGATTCTAGGGTTCACAAAAGATATCTACAGTATTTCGCCGTACTCCAGCGTACTCGTAATCCAATAGACTCCTACTCCAGTACTAGATTGGATAAAGTAAGCAAGATTAGAGTAGTTTTCGAAATTTGACACTAAAATGAACTAATTTAGAGGTACACTATGGCTAGATCGAATCGGCTAAAGTGACAAAACAAACTAAACTATCTTAAAATACTTTCTTCAACGAACCCTTCACTCTCGCATTCTCTACATTGCCCACAGGTCTCGCGTGTATTCTCAACGGTCTTTCCGATATCTTTTCCCCATTCACAAGTGCATCCACTGCATAAACTCCGGCTAGATCGGTGGGGAAATGGATTGAATGAAGACGATCACCAATTTCTTCGATTGTACAATGACGAGAGTGACCATCAGGTCCCTGGAATCAAAAAGTGAAGGAATTAAAGCCTTGACCTTCTGCTTTCTGCTTTCCAATTGCTCTAACTACTGAGCTATCCGGTAGCTTGCCAAGAGAAAGAGGGAAAGACAAGGGGAAGAATGGAAGAAGGCAAGAAGGGAAGAAGGGAAGAAGGGAAGAAAGGGGAAGAAGAAAAGGAAGCAGAAGATCACGGTTCTGAAGAGCCATTCTCTTCAGAACCGTGATCTTCTGCTGTAAAATGTAAAAACGTACAGTGATTGCAGTCGCAACTTTTTTCACTTGACCACAATCATTCGTATTCAATTGTAGATAGGCATCTGATCCAGCAGAGACAACACTTCCATCTCTAGTTGCTTCCAAATGTGCTTTTTGTGGCTCACAAGAGGCGACCAAGTGTATCAAGAATGGGCTGGAAAATAGGATTTTACAATCAGAAAACTCTACGGTTTTAGATTGAGTTAAATATTCTTCTAAAATATTCTTCTAACCTTTCTTTCAATGGTTCTCCATCATATGAAATCTCTAATGGAATGATGTCACCCGGTTTCCCGTGTGGATCAATTTCCACCACATTTACACCCCGACGACTGCTCAGACTCACGACACTTGGTTGGTTTTGATCTAAAGTTAGTTATTTAGCAGTTATTAGCAGATCTGATAGATCCATCTTTATCTTTTTCCTTTCTCCTACCTGGTGGAAATCTTGCTGTCACCTCTCCGGCAGCTGTTTTTGAGGCATCAACCACAATTGCACTTGTCGCGCCAAGACGATGCTAAAGTTTCGATTTTGATTTTGTTTTTGTTCATCTTCATATCTTCACCTTTCCATTGTCTGGCAGCTCAACCTTGATCTTACTATTGTCTTTCTTGTAGTCAGCGAATGCCATAAAGGGTGAGCCTAAATTGATCAAGAAATCAATTCAATTTGATCAACCTAACCTGGTATATGCTTTTTCTCCTCTCCATACAAGATTGCGATTTGATGAGCGCCGGGTTCTTTCGTGATGTAATCGACTTTGCACGATCCATTCTGGAAATCTGTTACTTGCGTCTCTGCTTCCATTGGGCCGCTGATCTCCAACGCGAGTGCACCATCGCCTGCGCCCTAAAATCGTTTATGAAATACTTTTGTGTTCTATCATGATGTTCACTAGACTTGAGAAGAGCTTGAGAAGAGCTTCGAGACTTTAGAAGTTACCTAGAAGACTTTAGAAGAAGTAGTACTACCGTCCAACCAACTACAGAGCTCAACAGAAAACCTTTTGTTATCTTTTACTTGCAAAACATCTTTTCCCCACTTCTACAAACCTGTGTATCAATTTGAAACGTGGCCTTCTCTCCGACAATCGCTTTTTTCAATCCAGGTCCATTTGCACAACACTTTGACGCATCTTGTCCTTGATGTACACGAAGAAACGCCTCTTCAATCGGAATCTCGTCAAAAAGCAACTAAAGAATAGAAACGATAAGAGTATTGAAGAGTTTAATGACTAGAGTACTTCATCGAGTTTACTACAAACCCTTTTCAGGCACACTCAATTCTTTCATTTAAGTTTTCATTTGTTTCTAGCACACTTGAATTCTCAATTCTTTCGCCAAAATAAAAGTTCCCATTTGTTTCCATTTCTCGAGCACAAATTTCACTAAGATACCTCAAGTTTCGTCTCTCCAATATCATTAGCGATGAATTGTGCCTCATACTTTCCATTGAGTTTCTCACACGGAATCAACACTCGTTTCTCATTTGGCAATGTCGCAATGAATTGCAATCCTTTTGTCTGCGCTTCAGTCTTTCCCGTATCAACTTTAACTTTTGCCAAATAACCGGTGAGAACATCAGCTGAAAATTAAACAATTTTAATAGATAAATAGACTGATTCAGGAATATTTTATAAATCTATGTTGGCTTGAGCTTCTTGATATTTTGTAAGCTTTGATCTCCTAGATTGAGCTGATAAATCAGTGCATTTTTGTAAAACATTTATTCCAATATTTCTGAGAGATTCCCGTATTTTCACATCAAAAAATTATGTACACAAATTGAGAAAAGAAAAAAAAACAAAATTTTTTTGAGGATAATTTATAAAAACGAAACCCTGATTTGAGAAAATCAATTAATTTGAAAGATTTTAAACTTTAAAATCTTTATATGCATTGTTGTGGAGTTGATGAACCGGAGGAAAGCGATGTGAATGGTGAAGCCGTCTTGTCGCGATCGGCGATCATTTTTGGAGATGACAACATCGGTGCACAGGCTACTACCTAAAGAACAAGAATTTAAGAATAAAGCATTAACTATAAGATGAATGTTTAATGCAACTTATTTCTTAATTTACTTGAAAGGGGCTTCCGGGGACGTGTTGTTCTTCAAACATCACCCTCAGCCAGTACATCCCGGGGAATCCTTGGCACATAGTACATACTGCAAGTGCCATCATGATTGTCGACACAATGGATTGGTGTCCGTGTTGGTCCATCAACGAAAAGATCGATATTCCCAAAGCCAGCTCTTGATGCATCGATGTGGACATGAGTGGATCGAGTGGCAATCACAGGACCTAGTCCTGGCCCCGAGACACGCACAAGGTCAGCTCGAGGTGGACCGGAACGAGACACCACGTATTCAGCTTCTAAAGGAAAGATGACTGTACTTAGTAGTTCGTACTACTGTCAGAAAGTCAATCAAGACTCACCTGAAGCATTCGCGCCAGCTTCAGGCACTGAATGAAGCAAGAAAGGACTTGTTTCAATGGCAAGATCCTCGTATGTGACCGAAATCGAGTAATCCCCAATCTCCGACGGTGTAAACAGCACTCGGAAACCCGTTGGTGTCGACTCGATCAACGCCTCGACCACTCGCCCTGATGGACTTGTAATCAAAATCCTTGTATTCTCTCCATCCGACGTGAACACGTGCACCTCTTTCTCGCAGTTCACTGTCACAATGGCTAAAGTCAATGATGATTAAAAGTCAATGATTAAAAGAAAAATAGATGAATGAGAACAGCAATCCATAACAAAACACTTAGAAATACTAGAGAAACGAAAAACGAAATAAAACAACATACCAGGCAAGTTTTAAAAACAAAAAAACCAGAAAAATGGCTTTGAAAAAACGCGCAATGCTAATGTTAACGTTTCTTCAACATTTGAATGAACATTGATGCTTTTAGTAAAACAAATAAACAAAAATCTTGCATTGTCAATGAAAAATACTCATGCAATTGAAAAACTAACCATTCTCAAGTCCTTCCACTCGAATTCCACCTCGATCCACATGCGGTTTCACATTGATCTCAATCGGTGGACCGTCAACACCAGCGAACACAACGTTTAACTAAAATTAAAGATAGATGAACTGAAATGAACTGATATGAAATGCTTTCTTCTTTCAACTTATTCTCTAGCATTATCGAACTTTAAAAGTCTACCTGATATGCGCCTGGTCTTGGTGCAGTGTACTTGACAGTGAATGATCCGTCTTGATTGTCGAGTACGTCAATGTCCACCGCTCGACCGTCGCGATCCGCAAGAGCTACCTAGAAAAAGTTTAGCTTTTATATATACCGTAAATACTGTAATAGTATCCCCACCCCCCGCCCGTACAGTCGCGTAGTCGCAAAAGTTTTTTAGTATTTTGTTAATCAAAGCTTTTTTCAAAGCGCCCGTACTTTCAAAAAATGCGTCTTTGGTATCAAAAAATATCTGAAATTCAGGGCTATTTTTTGATACCAAAGATAATGACGGTGCGGAGTGTTGCGTAGTCTAGCTTTGAATGCGTTTTTCTCGACACTCGTTTAAGCTACAATGCTCGTTTAAATATCAAAAAATAGCCCTGAATTTCAGCTATTTTTTGATACCTAAACGAGCATTATAACATAAACCAGTGTCGAGAAAAACTCGTTCAAAGCTAGACTACGCAACACTCCGCACCGTCATTATGGGCGGTGGGGTCCAATTACAGTATTTACGGTAGTTGCCCAGATAGCCTAGGCTGGCTTTGATCTATAATCACTTACCTCAACAGCGCCTGGTCCAGCCTGTTTAGCGTCAATAGTGAAATGAGTGGGTTGTTGGCTGACCACCGGTCCTTCCACTCCTGGCCCGAAAATGTTCAACTTCGATGCATCAATTTTCTCCTCAACGTTTAGCTAAAAGATTTAATTAGGCGATAGTGCTCTTGTGCTTGTTACAGCAATGATTGTCTAGTTGCTGCTAATGTTAAAATTGAAACTCAAAGTCAACTCACTGGGAAAGGTGCTCCTGGTACGGCTACCCCATTCACTCCAATATTCACAAAGTGTGCCCCAGTGTCTTTCGGCGTGAACGAACACTCGTACAACCCTGGATTCACCTCTCGCATTGATGGAATGATTTGTCCGTACTTTCCATCGACCACACTCACTTGGGGAAGAAGATCGGCTAAAGAGTGATAGGTTTTGAAGTTCAAAATAAGATCGAGGTGGAATTTGAGTGGAAAGACTTGTGATTCGTGGCATTTATAAGTTCATATCAAGATCTAATCTTTGATTTTCTGGTTCCTATTTACTTTATGTCTTCTATTTTTTGTTTTCTTTTCACCAGTCTTTTGTTTACTTTATGTGTATCATCAAAAACTCAAATAGAGATTTCTATTTTCATGGATAAATTTAAAATTCAAACAAAACTATCGACAAATTCATTGTTTCATTCAAATCAAATTTGATCAATCAACTCAGCACTTAATTGATCAATTCGTGCATTTGAAAGCTTTAATGATCCGATTGGAATGGGTTCATCTTTGCCGAAAAATCAAATCTGATCATCTTCAAGTCCATCGACATCATTCAATCATTGAATCTAATCTTGAGCACTTGTTTTCGAAAAAAAACGTCGAGAAATCTTGAGCTTCGCCTTTCAATGCTCACTTATTCTCTAGCTTAATCGACGTCGAATATCCACCTTCTTTTAGCTTGATTAGCTTGATTCTTCCTACATGAATTGATCCTTTTGATGGATCCAACCAAATTTCTTGCTGGCGAAGTTTGTCACTTACATACTTCATTGTTTCCAGCTTGAAATCTTGAAATAATTTCCTTTTTTGTGATGTTTCATCTACAGTTTCTTCTGAATTGTCTTTTTTCTCTTGACTTTCTCTTGAATACTCAACATCTTGAATACTCAACATCTTGAATCACGTCATCAACGTTGTTCCAATCGAGATCTCCCAAATGTTCGCAAAGAATTCAAGTTGCTTGTGTTCTCAGCGATCACGAAACTCCTCAAGTCTGACTTCTCGATGCGATTCCTTGGTAAAGCTTTCCACGAGTCAACGATCCCGCAAGTAGATTTCCATTGATTCAGCCATTTCCGGCGTTTGTCTTCTCGTGATCTTCATCGACAATCCATTTTTTATAGAAATAACCAATTTTGGGCTTAAACGGCGGCCAAGAGACACCAGCTGGTTAAACTAATTTTGTAATTCTTCCACGTTCAACTTGATCGATCTCAACTTCGTCTGCTCGCTGATGTGACAAACTGTCCCATACCAACACGGGGTATTTTTAATGATAATAATAATAATTTCCCCCACTTACCACCAGCATTTTTCGTGTCAATCCGGAAAGTTGTCTTCTCTCCTTTTGTCGCTTTTTTCGTCTCGAGTCCCGTCACTCGAACAGCTGATGGTCGAATCGATTGGTTCGCTGGGTCAACCTAGAAAAGATAACAGAATTATCTGTTTAACATTATCTTTATTATGGATTTGATAAATCAAGGACACTGAAGCATTGAAATATGACTTCAAAATTGGCTAGAGTAGGCTGGCTAGAGTAGACTGGCTAAAGTAGGCTGGCTAAAGTAGGCTGGCTAAAGTAGACTGGCTAGAGTAGACTGGCTACAATAGGCTGGCTACATTAGGCTGGCTACAGTAGGCTGGCTACAGTAGGCAGTAATATTTAAAAACTATCATACCCAGACGACGAAAGGACTGTCGCGAATGTGCTCGCCTTTGGAGAGGATGTTGATCTTGTAGACACCACTTTCTTTTGGCTGAAAAATTAAGCATATTATAAAATTGCTGTTTTGTTTTACTGTAATAGACCCTCAATGTAATAGAATTTTAAAATCCTCACCGTATACTCGACAAGCGCTTGTCCCTGTCCTCGATCAGCGCACTCGATCGCCGTTTTGCTCGGTCCTTCGATGGTGAAAGCTGAAAAGTTTAACGATATCTTGAAACTACTGTAGGAAATGTATTAGATGTTTTAGCTAGCCTCACCCAAAGCATCACTATCGCCGTGTGTATTCACATAGAAGAGATTCGGTTGTTGCGCAATTCCACCTTCTAAACCGGGTCCGAACGCGCGCACTGGAGATTTCGAAGTTGGACTGACAGAGACCTCGTACGGAGTTTGACCGATTGGTTCACCCGCATTCAGCACTTGAACCTAAAATAAAGATATTAAGCTATTAAGCTATTAGCTATTAAGCTATTAAGCTATTAGCTATTAGCTATTAAGCTATTACCGGAACTTATTAACATTTTCTTTTACCTATTATCTATTTAATCTATTGATAATCTATTATTATCTATTGAATTATCTATTTTATCTAATTTTACCGTACCCGATAGACTCCTTCAGTTGTCGGGGTGTACTCGAATTTCGCTCGACCATTTGAAATCGTCCGTGTCACCGCAACTTTTCGACTGTGACCTAGATTTTGATTTTTATTCAAAAGAAATATATTCATATAAGATTTCTCTAAGTATTAGTTATATTATTATTTAATTATTCACGAATTTTCTCACCATCTACCACTTCGACGCTGATCGGTGCTTTATTGATGTCATCGCTTGAATCCGAAGACGACGGTTGAACGTAGATTGGAGCCTAAATACCTTTAGATATAAACTATTCAGCTAACTATTTAATATACCGTAAATACTGTAATAGTACCCCACCGCCCTCGTACAGTCGCGTAGTCGCAAAAGTTTTTTAGTATTTTGTTAATCAAAGCTTTTCTCAAAGCGCCCATACTTTCAAAAAATGCGTCTTTGGTATCAAAAAAAATAGCTGAAATTCAGGGCTATTTTTTGATATTTAAACGAGCATTGTAGCATAAACCAGTGTCGAGAAAACCGCGTTCAAAGCTAGACTACGCAACACTCCACACCGTCATTATCGGGGTGGGGTCCAATTACAGTATTTACGGTACGTATTCCTATAAACTATTCAGCTAACTATTTACGATAGCTTTATTTTATACCTGTCTACTCTATCTATTTATCTACAAGCTATGGTAAAAATTCAACAAATTAAAAATTCAATTCAACTTTTAGATTTATAGATTTATAGAATTTTCTAATGAGATTTGACTTTTGTAACTTTTCAACTCTGTTTTATGAATTCTTTTAGGTACAATAAGCTGTGTAAAATAAGATTTTAACGCTTAAATGTATTATAAATGTTTCTATAAGCTTTAAATAACAATTTAACAATTTTTGTGAACCTTATCTCCCACGCAAACTCCATCCGATTGCAAACCTCGACCCCACGTTTCCCAAGAGCCTGAAAGTAAAGAGATTTGAAATAGATTTTTCAGATAAATGCTTTGTTTAGATGATTGTACATTTTTGCTCACTTTTTGGTAACACTTTTAATCGGAAAGGACTGCCGACAATCGCTGATCCACGATGGAAAGCATTCACCGAGTGTGTTCCCGCCATTCCCAATGGATAATCAGCAATGTAACAACCCGGAATCGTTGAACCTCAAGAATAAACTTTAATCATTGATTCAAATCAAAATTTAATCAATTTAATCATCTCTTTATTTACCGGAATTTTCTCAAATAGTAGTGCACCCCGGCGAGCCGAGTTGATGACTATTTACGGCTTCCAAAGTTTTCCCAGAAGCTCAACACTCTAATCATCGTCAAGATCTCATCGTCAGCTACATTTTCCGACCCCACATCGATAGGTTCTGATAAGCGGTTCTCGAGATTTCGAGGAATTTAGGCGACTATTATTACAGAAAATACGGCATGCATTTTTACGGCGGAATTTGTTAGCTTGCGTACTTTCCCCTTTCCGTGTACACAACCATTCCCACGTCACTCCTTTATTTTCTCAGAAACAAGAAAAAAGACTTCTTAGTGCACCAGAAAAGCTGTATTTTGCGCACAAAGTCTAAAAACTCACCAACAACTGGTAATTTATGCTCTTTTCCGTCTGAATCCACGACAACAACGTCAACCGGCCCATCCCCAGCATTCTCGATCTCAAACGTTTTCACTTCACCAACCTAAGCATATACTTTTTAGATGTGTGAGCTGTGCTGACCTTTCCGGATCCTCCAAAGTCTAGCATCCTTGCTCCTTCAATCACTCGAACTTCAGCTGAATCACTCGCCACACTCTCACCGCTGAGAATCGATGTGGTGAAGAGGGAAATCTAATCGAAGTTTTGTGTCACTAAACTATTCTTTCTGTTACCTTTGCCGTTCCGACTTTCTCAGGCGTGTACTTGACATTGTAGTTGCACGTGGCTGGGATCTTGTTCACAGTGAAGTGAATGTCCTGACCGTGCTCGTCTTGGATCGAGAGCTGCAAGTCATTGTAGAATTAATCTAGCTATGCAAAACCCATAGAGTTCTAATCTAGCTGTAAACTAGGGCAGATTCAAGAGCTGGCTAGTCTGTTAGATATTTTTGGCTTTCTGGCTAGTCTGTTAGATATTAGATAGTCTGTAAAGCTAGAAGCTAGGCCAGGATCCGGTTGATAGCTTTGTTCTGGCTTAGCTCTAGGTAGCCTGTAATAATCTGGCCTGGTTGACTGGCCCGATTGATTGATTTCTGGATCTAGGTTTAGGCTAGCTTTTGATCCTCTGGATCCAGGCTGGATTTTGGAGAATTTTTTGGGTCAGCAATAAGAAAACAGGGCAGGACCTGCTTTTGCCAACGAAGAACCTTGGAAACATTTGTTCAAACCTTTGGTTTATGCTCATCTGTTGGCATGATCACATGAAAATCGGCGGCTCGTCCAGCGATCGCTGTCACCTCAACTCCATGCAATTTCCCCTTTCTCATCGGTGGTTTTACCTAAACTTTTCCATTTACAATTCACCACGAAATTCCCATTCAATGTTAGTTAGGGTTTTTGGGAGAAAACGATTATTTGAGGGGAGATTTTTGGCAATGGACTACCTCGATCTCTATCGACGATTGCCTTTTTTCTTTCAGAGCCTGAAAAATCCGGGAAACTGTTTGATTTACACTTGTACTTTGTGCCTGCTTAAATGCACGCTTTCTGGCATGCTTTCTGGCACACTTGTGAGTTGTTTATGTCAGAAATCATGCCTTTATTTTAAAGTACAAAGTACGAAGCTGATCTAAGTACTACAGCAAACTGTTTGTCTACTTTTTTTCATATCAAAAATCGAGTCTCACCTGGGGAAATTGTGCCAAGTAAGTCATCACAGATTTCTCGTCAACATTTGGATTGATTAATTCTTCTGGCGTGATTAAAGGGGCCACTCCGAGTTCTTGTGCAGCAGCAGTCATGGCTCTTCGCGTGTTATCCAGCGCCTCATCTGGCTCCCAGTTTCGCCAATCTGACACAGAGTCAGGCGAGATTGAGTTCACCTAGAGTTTGAAGTCAAATTTTAAATCCAAGAATCAAGAAAGTCAACCGAGTCTAGCTTGATTTAAATTACAAAATTCAGCCTATAGCCTTCAGCCGTGGCCTATTCAGCCTATAGCCTTCAGCCTTCAGCCTTCAGCCTTCAGCCTTCAACCTTCAGCCTATAGCCTTCAGCCTTCAGCCTATAGCCTTCAGCCTTCAGCCTTCAGTCTATAGCCTAAATTCAGCCTTTCTAGTTTGTTTAAAGCAATATTCTTGATAGGAATAGCTGAATTTATTTGGTTAAATGCTCAAGATCGAAATGTTTATTTGAAATCCCACTCACCAAGCCACCCAACGCCAAGCCATCATTCCAATCATAAGTGAAATTCGTCACTGGCACATCGTCAGGCAATTTCCTTCGAATCCATTGAAGCAATCGCTGTTTCGGGGTTTTGTCTGGCTCACCAGCTGGTCGCTCATCTTCCTGAAAAGAGCAATTCGATTTCAAATCTATGAGCAGCATTTTTCCTAACCTCCATATGAATTGAGATTGAATAGTGTAAGATGAGAGTCCAAATCAATCCTAGGATCAATTTCTTGTTCATGTCGACAATGTGAGAAGAATCTGAACGGATTTTGATGTGCTTTAGATGGTTAAGTATTGAATTTGAGTATTGAATCTATAGAACTATCTATAGAGCTTCCCTCTAGAGAACTATCTATAGAACTCCCCTCTACAGAACTATCTATAGAACTATCTATAGAACTCCCCTCTACAGATCTATCCATAAAACTCACCAATATTCACAATCTTTATTCCTTCATCGTTTTGGAGAAAATTCAACGCCACTGACACGTTCTCGAGCTTCTGATGACGGAATTTCACCTGGAAACTTTTAAAAACAAATGATGACTTTTCGTTTTTCACTTATCTGAATACCCTACTCACTATTCATCTGGAGCACTGTATCTTACTGTAAACTCTCTAGGCAATAATCTGATCTAATGATTCAGATTACTGTATGAATTTGACACCCACCTGGGCACTGTATCGACCGACATGTCTCTGTGATAACACTTCAACCAATTTAATCAATTTGAGACCGTCAGAGAAATCACTTTCCTGAAATAATATTGCTTTTCTAACATATCTAGTTTTCAACAACTATAGACAGCGAGTGATTGCAAAGCCGCACAAAGAACATTCATTTATATAGGGATTCTCTTTTGTTCTGTAAACGCAAATAAGATTTAATGTTAAAAAGTACTCTAGTTCAGAGAATCTATTTGGCGGAGTTTATTTTAATCATTTATTCTAAGAAACTAATTGGTTGTTTGTTTGTTTGTTTGTTTGTTTGTTTGTTTGTTTGTTGTTTGTTTGTTTCTTTGTTTGTTTCTTTGTTTGTTTCTTTGTTGTTTCTTTGTTTATTGTTTCTTTGTTTCTTTGTTTCTTTGTTTCTTTGTTTCTTTTTTCTTTGTTTCTTTGTTTCTTTGTTTCTTTGTTTCTTTGTTTATGTGTTGTTTGTTGAATTTTTTATGATAAGACAATGATAAGACTCAGATTTCCAGAGTCGAACTAGAATCCCTAACTCACAAGATGGTGTATCTCGTCGGGGACTTTCTTCAAGTGATTATTCACCCATCGCGTGAATGTGTTCAATTGAATATTCTTCCATTCAGCATCGGGTTGAAGTGAGGAGATGACCTGAGGACAAATATAAATAAATAAATCGTTAAATAAATCAAGAATCTCCACGATTTCCCTTCAATTTTCTAGGCACAATTTCAATTATTTTACTAATAAAAAGGATATTGAAAATGCTATTGATTTAGCTTTTTTTTTTTTGCTTTTTTTGCTATTGATTGATATTTTGCTACTTGAAAAGCACATCACTTTTCATCTTCGTAAAAACTTTCTTGAATTTCGTGGAGAATTTCTTGGAAAGAAGGGGTTTATGGGTCAAATTTCCAAGCTTTTTTTTCTCCGAATCCGAATCCTTTTCTACTCAAACAGCTGTTATCAAAGAAAATACAAAATTCGAAGGATTTCTTGAATTTAAAATTATAGTATAGGAAGTACTTTTGATATAAAAAATACAAAAATATAACTTTAAAACTCTAGTATTGAATCATTTCTTTAAAAAAACTTGATCTTTTAACCTTTTTTAACGCTACAAACCATTCTTGCGAATCTATTAGCATTCTTTTTCTTTATTTCGGCTGCATAAATGTATGCTATTGATTTTTTTTTTCTTCATTTCACTCACCGGTTCAGGTTCCCGGTCATCGGCGTGAAGATTTGTCATTTAGACGATGAAATGTGGGGAGATTGAAGAGGGAGAACTCCCTCAAAGAAAACGAAACAATCCACAACTCGATTCACAACTGGAAACATGAAAAATTCGATGAAAAATTGAACAAAAAGAACAAAGAAATGAGTGAAATGATGCAATCAAAAGCATATTTAGCAAAAGGTTCAGTTTCCCGGTCATCGGCGCGAAGATTTGTCATTTAGACGATGAAATGTGGAGAGATTGAATGTGGGGAGAATGTGGGGAGATTGAATGTGGGGAGATTGAATGTGGAGAGATTGAATGTGGGGAGAATGTGGGGAGATTTATCAAAAGCAAAAGCATATTTCATTTAAAAACGGCAACTCTTAAGGGCTTCGAATGTTTAGATGATGAAAATTTTAAATGAGAATTCTAAAATGTAAATCTGTCAAAGAAATGTTGAGCTTTGTGACACCTATCTTTTGATTCGGATTCGTGAAATCTATCTTTATAATATAAAAGATAGTGTACGTTTAAGCTCCTGCTCGAGTTTTGATCAGTTTTAACCAGTTTAAACCAGTTTAAACCAGTTTTAACCAGTTAATCCAGTTTTAAACCAGTTTTAACCAGTTTTAACCAGTTTTAACCAGTCTAAACCAGTCTAAACCAGTCTAAATCAGTTTAAACCAGTTCTAACCAGTTTAAACCAGTCTAAACCAGTTTTAACCAGTTTAAACCAGTTTTAACCCAAATACAAAACTTACTAAGCAGCTGAAATCTTAGAATTGAATAAATCAATCAATAGAATGAATCTTTTAAAATAAAATAAGCTAAAATGATAGATAGAATGAATTGATAAATCTGGAAAAGAGATCAAAGATTTAGATAATAAAATGAAAGCAAAGCTAAGCCGTCTATAATATAATCTACTCGAAATTGTCGATTGTCCACTCCTGCAGGCTTTAGTTTAGATTTAGTATGGCTTAACTTTCTAATTTCTTCTAATTTCTAATTTCTAATAAACTCTTACACTTTGGTATATCAAAAATGTTACAATAACTTTTATCATCTTAAACTTAAACTTAAACTCAATCAAAAGGGTCAGGGTCGCTGTTTTTTTCATTCTTTTGCTCAGGAAGCGAGTTTTCAGGTGGAAAGGGGAAATCTTTGCCGACGACGACGTCCCCTATCCGCTTAAACATTTGGATTAACAAAAGAAATTGAATAATTCATTCTTTTCATTTACCTTTTAACATTAAAACTTTACAAAATCCCTAGATGATTGTTGTTAACTTTTCAATATTTTAGCTTCGATCTACATATAATCTACTCGAAATTGTCGATTATCCACTGTCGATTATCCCGGTAATTTTTGTATATCAAAAACGTTACAATAGCTTTTATCATCTTAAACTTAAACTTAAACTCAATCAAAAGGGTCAGGGTCGCTGTTTTTTTCATTCTTTTGCTCAGGAAAGCGAGTTTTGATAGATAGAATGAATTGATAAATCTGGAAAAGAGATCAAAGATTTAGATAATAAAATCAAAGCAAATCTAAGCCATCAAATACTCTTGAATCAATGAAAATACTCTTGATTCAATTCACTCCACACTTAAACAAAGACAAACGTTGATAAAGAAAAGATTTGTCGAATCACTTTTTCAAAAAAAAAAAAAAAATTTTAAGCAAGAAAGCAAAAAAGAAAGTTGAGACTTCGATTCATGAGGGGAAGTGGACTGGAGAGATCGACAGTTGGTGTGTTCAGCCTCGAGACTTTTCTCCTCCTCGTGTCCCAACACCGATCGACTCACTCATCTCTTTTTTTTCCTTCAACCTCTTTCCCCCGGATTTTCTTTTTTCTTGAGGATCAATTGCCCAACGAGACCCCACGCTTTCTCCGATTTTTCAGAAAAAAAAAAAAAAGTGAAAACAAGTGTTTTCCCCATAGTTTGATCATGGAAGATATTGAAGGAAATGAGGGTTCAATTGTTGAGAAAGAGGGACAATACAAGGCTCATCAGAGAATTCTGAATGTTTTGAGGACAATACCAACCTCACCAGAGAATTCTTTAGTTAGATTTTAGTAACGATCTAAAAAAACTCGCTGGTTAAGAGCATTTCAAAACATTCAAACTTGCCATTTTTGCCAGCCATTTTTGAAATATAAAGTTTCATCAAATTTCGCTAAGCTAGCTTAGTTAACGTTTTACCGCTGGCACACCCCCTTGCCTTGATAGCCTAGTGGATAGTGGGTTAGCGCGTCGGTCTGTTCGCCTGGGCTTTGTCCCTGGTTCGGATCCATTGTCGGCCAGACGAACTCAGGAAATTACTTTTTTCATCAGTAATCTCTGAAACAGATTATATTGATGTAAAAAAAGTTCCAAACTTTAAATAATTGACTCCAGCCACTTTTTGGGTTTCTCTAGTTCTCTAGAGTCTAGCTCTTCACTTGACAGTGAAGAGCTAGACTCTAGACAAATCACCCAATCCCGAGTGCGCTAAATTAGATGAACTTCTAAGCTTTCTAAGAAACGGGTGCACTAGAAACGATGTGTTTACCATCACTGAGCTCAAAGTACACTTGGTAAACAAGTAACAAGACTTTAGCACAATAAAAATATAATATCAAAAGATTTTTGGAGACAAATGAGCCAAAAAGTAGCGATGATTTTGAGGTTGAATCAACGATAAATCAACGATGAATCATCGTTCGTTGCCGAGAGAATTTTGTCATCAAAATTTCAATTTCAATGTCAACTTTAAAAGAAATCAAAAAAATCAAAAAAATCAATCAAATTATAAAAGATTTTTTCAAGAATGACTCAGAAAAGTGTTTTTTTTCTTTCGTTTCTTTTTTATTCTTTCATTTCTTTTCATTCTTTTTCTAATGTTTCATTGATATTCTACAGTTTTTGAATTAAAAAATCGTCAGAAATTATGTGGGGAATCGCTTTTGAGAAAGTAAAATGAGAAAAAAGAAAAAATGAATTGTTGAGGATTGGAAAAATTGGAATATCGTTTTTTTTCTTCAATAGATTCCGATTTCTTAGCTTGAATACAAATTTAGAGAGGGTTTTTGTTGAATATTTGTTTTTGCTGGCTTGCTGGCCGGCTCCGAATCCTCAAATTGGACATTGACTTCTCCGCAAATCAAGGCTAATGGGCTAATCAAGCTAATCAAGCTATCAGGCTAATGTCAATCTATTTAACCTTGATTCAGATTTATTATTTAAATACGAATACCCGATTCGAATTCTTCATATTC